AGATATGCAGCCTTACAGGTTCTGGTAAGTTTGGATCAATGTCCTCGTCCTGAATCACGAAAGGCAACCCCGTTCCTAGACTCCATCGTCTGTCCAAGCTGTAGACAGACCAGAATAGCCGAGTGATCTCGTCCCACTGCACCTCATCTGGGAATGACTTCACCAAGGCATCCCGACGATGCAATCCCATCTCTAAACACATTCGCGCCGCCAATCCAATAAGCCGATAAGCCATGGCGTCATCGTCTGTATGGTAATGGTATGTGGCCTAGAGTGGGGAAACAGAGTTAGAATTATTAACTGCGGCTTTTGAAGAGACCTTGACTTACCACAATAGCAAAGAGCTGGATAGTTTTGATGGTATGAGACTCCCACAACTTCGATTCTATAAATGGCTTAACATCCAAGTAGAGCCGCTGCCCAAGTTCACTTTGACCGCCCCCCTCCACGACCAGCGTGGTTGCGAGAATCAATTTAAGAATGATCGAGCTTTCGTCGTGAAGACCATCACAGCCCGGAAACCCTCGTTGTGCAAAGCCTGTCCTGGTAGCAGCCTCTATGAATGTGTAGAGCAGATTAGCCTGGCTAGTAACCTTGGCGATATCAACCACAGGATACATGATCCCAATCTCTTCCTCGTAAACCTTACAGAGACGCATTGTCTCTTCACGCGGGATCGTCCATATTGGATCCTTGGTAGGGTGTGTGGTTGGAAGAAGCTGTCCCAGATTGGGAGGTGGTGAGCCTGTTGGAGAAACATGTGCGGTGGTCAAGTCATCTGTGGTTCCATCTTCCGCTGGGGTGATACCCATATTCTGCAAGCTGGATTTGGCCACGTCAAAGTTGAAGGCCGAGCTTGTTGGACCATGGAAGCGTGGGTGACGGGCTCGTGGCTTTGCTAGCTCGGCTTGCAGTGGAGTGTAGACAGATTGAGATGCATCGCGAGAGAGATGCTCAACAAACCCTGGTGATTGAAATGCTGGTCTTGTGGTACGAAGCTCATTGAGATTACTGAATAAGCTATTGACCTGGTCTTGTAAAGTAGTGATCTGATCTGTCATTGACCGGAACTCACTAGCTCGGCTATTAGTATCAAAGGCTGGACGGGTTTTTATTCATTAACTTACTCCGAGTCTTTGAAGTTGTTATTACAACAATTAGGCGCATAGCGACCTGGCGAGTGGGTCAGCGCCTGAAACCCGGGATCAGACAGCTCGGACGCAAGAGCTGCGAGCCGTCAACAGAGTTAAGAGCCACTTACATTCCAAATTCAGGTGACCACACCGTTGACAAGGCATCTGGCCATTGCACTTGATCTTGCGCCGCTTGCATTCATTACTGAAGATTACATGGTTAGCTTGAATCTGCCGACAAAGGTACCGAAGGAGAAGGGAGAGTCGTATGACTTTGCGAAACAGATTATCCGACCAGCTGCAAGGCTGGAAGGTGAAGCGACCGAGGTAGCGGAAAGCAAAAAAGTGCCGGGTCAGGCCATATCATACCATGCAATGGAGATGTAGCGATTCCGCTTTGTGCGCGCCTGCGTTCCGTTGCCTTGTTCCGCCTTTCTCTTGTTGGAATCGGACGCACCGATGGAGTGATCGCGTGGGTCCGTCTGCGGCGGCGACATTTCTAGCTGAGGTGACTCTGAAGCCATGACCTGCAGAATATTGAAGCGACTCAATGAGTAGCCGGTGAGAGATACCGGCGTCGAAGTGCGGAGAAATTCCTCTCTCGCGGGGTTTCCCCAGATTCAGCTTACTCATCTGATTATCCGGCCGGTCATTGGCCCCGGGGCATATTTAAGCTTGGAGAATGTAAGAATGTACTGATTTACAGATTCATAATGTTGTTATTCGCATAAATTTCTCGCTCTGAAGATAGTGCTCGAACTTCAAAAAGATGCAAGGCCCAAATAAACCCAAATGAAATGATATCAGTGCGCCAATTGCCTAACCGCTGAGACCAACCACTCTTTCCCAGCCAGTAATGACTGCACCAACTGAGCCTTCTGCTGAGGATTCTGGCGTAGAGAGCCAAATGCTGCAATGAGACCAAGGATGACAGAACCCTGGATTGTTTTCCGGAGACCTCGCAAGACCCGTCCCTTTCTCGTGAGTTTCGCAGTCCAATGCCGCCACACAGGGAACTTGCAACGCAGCCAATAGTGAATCTGAGTGAATCTGAATACTATGTCAGTAGCAACTGGGAACTAGCAAGCAAGGAACGTACGGATATGTGCTTGAATTCCAACCATCGGCAGTGATGTACCAGCTAGAGCAAGCCCCACGACGGAACACACTCTGCTGAAGCGCATCTTGCACCTGTCGAGTCCATTCACGTTCAGCATCCTCCTTGACTTCATACGAGCTGACCTGACCATTCAGGATTGGCTTGATAAAGTTCAAGGAGTAGTTTACCGCATTCTCCGTCGCAAATATAACACTGGTATGTCCTGTTGCTGTGTTCGGGCCGAAAAGAATAAAGAAGTTCGGGAAAGAATCCATTGCAATGCCCAGGTATGCCTGGGCGCCTCCACGTTCTGCCCAGACCTTTTCAAGATCCTTGCCCTCCCTGCCAGTCACCTTCAGTGGGTGTAGCCATTGGTTGGTTTCGAACCCGTTGGCCATGATGATCACATCGGCGGGAATCTCCCTAACCTCTACTGCGTCGTCCGACTTGTGGGGTGGGTAATGGCGGCCCGGACCAAGAGTCACGCTCTTCGCATTGACCCTTGTCAGAGGTTGGGTAGTCAGCTCCACATTTGGAGCATTGAGACTGCGATACCAAGTGCCATCGATGATCCGTCTCTTACAGCCGAGGCTGTAGTCCGGTGTCAAGATCTCATGGTATTCCTCCGGCGCAAGGCGGCGCATGTGGTCCAAAAACTTATTTTCTAGCTGCGGCCGCACTCTTCGGCCCCATGCGGTGTCCGTGAACATATCGTAGAAGTTTTTCTCCAGCATGAAAAAAGCAGCCCTTCGGACGGACGACGCTAGTCCGGGCACGTGGGTCATCAATCTAGGTGACCATTTCTCGTACAATGGAAGATAATCAGGAGAGATTAAATCAGGCTGAACCCACGGAGGAGTTCGCATGAGTTGGGTAATGGATCGAACGTTGGCCTCTGGTTTGGCTAGCTCGGGCACTACCTGTGCGGCGCTGCAGCCGGAACCAACCATGATGACATTCTTGTCCTCCAAATCAATCTGGTCGTTCCAGCGAGCCGTATGCATGATCTCACCTTCGAAGTCCTCTATACCTGGGATGTCCTTGGGCCATGTCTTGGGTTCTACCAGCCCGCCAACACCACTGACGACCACCTTGGCTCGCACAATTTCTGTTTTGACATAGATCTTGTGATGGCCGTCCTGGGCTGCGATTCGATCTCTTTCGTGCTGAGCTAAATCACCGGTTCCAGGGACAAGGTGCGAGAGCGTAACCTCCCATTCCTCGTCATCCTCGATCCATCGAAGTTCCTTGACATCGGTATTCAACTGAATCTTATCCACAATTTGATATCTCTCACAGACATCTGCCATATACTGTGCCAATTCTGGACCAGATGGATGGATTGTGGACCAGTTCTTTTTCTGAGCAAAGGAGAAGGAGTAGAATGTCGCCGGTCTTTTACCTTCCGGGTTAGCTATTCAGTAAACAATCATAGAGTTGGATCACCCACATGTCGCAAGCAGCTCCCGGATACCTATTGATCCACCAGGTACCTCCAATACCGGACTGACGATCAAATATTCGGAACTGGTCTGTTCCCAGGACCTCTTTGAGCCGGCAGCCCATGGCCACCCCCGACTCCCCAGCACCTACTATGAGGACCGGGTAATAAGTGTGAGCATCCTTGCTGTAGGCATGGCGCTTATGAATTCGGGCGATGGAAGGCATGGTGCAGGTAAACAGTAATTACAGGCAATCCAATGACCGTGGAACCTGAGGACAAGAGTAAAATGTCAATGTAGACACCCAACGTGGCACGAAATGCGAGGGGATCTTGGCTATAAAAGAGCGGTCACATGGACGGCCTTTTGTCTGGCATTTTCAGCGTGCAAGTGTACATTCAGCGTGCAAGTAAGTGTACATGGCTGCTGCACAACTGCGGGGATGCGTATTGACCTCGGTCTTTATCGGCTTCATGCACTTTTACTGTGATGGACAAGTGGGGTCATACTCGTCATACTCTATGGCTTGTGATTGGATCCTTTTCGGAGAATGGTTTGAAGGGGGAATGATCCCCAGGGGAAATCGCTTGGTGACTTCCTACGGCTTGTAGGTCTGGTTTAAGGGTCGATATATAATATTTGATGCCCCAAACAGCTACCGTTTCCCTTTTTTCGCAGGAGAATTTCTTCGGCTTGTGTAAACCTTCGTAGGGTTCGCAGCCTGAGGCACCTACAAAGAGTTTATATGTGTGTAGGTTCAACCTCCAACATCTCTAAGCTCTTTTAAGCTAATGATTTACGGCATTGCCACTAGGTGGATTGATACTACGCCATAGCATTATATGAATTTCACCAGGTCCAGCTAGCCCGGTCCTCGGTCCAACCCTGCACTTCGGGAACCCGGACTAATCCATACAAGGCATAAATAGTGTCCTTCGATTCCACTCGCTTCTTAGTTTGGTTCGCGGCCAGAAGACCGCAGATATGCCTATGTGGAATGAGGTCAGCTTCTGTCCCTGGATTGGTAGCTCATGCTGTATACATACATAGTCTGCCGGGGGGGGGAGGCTAAGCATTCGTCGGAAAACGAAATATACCTTATGCTCGTTGAGCCATGGTGCTTTCAGTTCCCCATCTGCAAGTTAAGCTGTCCACCGACATCAGCTTCTTGCGGCTTGTTTCGGGTGACCTGTGTACGGCGATGAAACATTGTAACATTCATGCCTGAGGCAACAAGAATGGTTGTTAGTTCGGAGATTAACCCGTAGACTATCTCGGGTCTCCGATCTTCAATGTCTCACCCTTCCACCTCCCACGTCGATCTGGATGAAGCTACAGCCATGGTCAATCCGAGTCTGGACCCGGATTCCTCGTTCGTTCCTCTATCATAACCCCCGATCAAGTGTCCGGAACTTTTCCGCTTCTTCACACCCTCGATACCGACCTCTCGATATCCTCGAAAATGCCACCCTGGACACCTTCCAGCAGCGATGCTTCCTCCCCGAACAACCAGCAATCCTCCCACGCTCTACCTTCAATGACCTCCCCGCCCTGAAAAAATGGTTCAAACGCGCGAGTCCCGAGTCAACACCGGGCACCCCGAACTCCGTCACAAGCCTGAATGTGGAATATCTCCACAAACACGGCGCTGACGCGTTCGTCCCACTCGAGCTAACGGAATCCACATCGACTGATGAATCTGGATCCGACGGCGGGACAACAGAAATGCATAGCTTCCGGCAATTCCACGCGCCGCTCACTTTGTTCCTCGACTGGATGCGCACTGCCGAAACTACTCCCCAATCAACGCGGCTCTACCTAGCTCAATGCCAGCTTCTGGACCTCCCTCCCGTGCTTCGAGAAGATTTCCCGACGCCGGAGCTCGTGGCGCGCGCGGGCAAGGGTGATGTATACGATACGAATGTGTGGATTGGACACCCGCCCACTTACACACCGCTCCACCGTGACCCAAACCCGAACTTGTTTGTCCAGCTGGTTGGGGAGAAGGTTGTACGCCTGCTTGCGCCGGCGGACGGGCAGGCTATTTTTGGGGCTGTGAGGAGGCAGATGGGGAAGAGTGGGAGTCGGGAGGCAGCGGCTTTCCGGGGCGAAGAGATGATGCAGGGGAGGGAGAGGGCGTTGTTAGATGAGATGGTTTGGGGGACTCCGGTATCTGCTGGTTCGGATGCTGGGGTTGGCTTTGAAGCGTGTCTTGGGGCTGGTGATGGGTTATTCATTCCCAAGGGGTGGTGGCATAGTATTAAGGGTGTTGGTGGGGGTGTTACAGCTTCGGTGAGTATGTTTCCTTTGGTAGGATTTGCGTCTGTCGCTGATATACTTGCAGGTCAACTGGTGGTTTCGATAGTTTGACTTACGCCCGTATCAATGCGGTATACCCATGCACAGGACTCCGACGCTCGATCGGCCCTAGGCTGGATCCAATCTGAATGTTCTCTGTAACTGGTTGAGTGAAGGTACGGAGAATTGGGGGAATGTATGATTGGGAAGGCCGTGGAGACTCTTCCAGGTAGGTCTTTCAAGCCTTGAAACCGCTGGGAACCGCTGGGGACAAATCCAAATCATCAGTGACGCCAAACACTCGTTCTCAGGCTGGATACCCCTAGAACATAGAGAGGATTCAAGACAGGCTGGGGAAGTTTTGTTCTGGTAGACTCACGAACAGAATATTGTACCCGTAGATACACTCGGGGCCTCTCAATTGTGTAAGCTCGGTGTCTCAGACAAAATCGAAGATAAGATATCGAGCATAGAACTATTTACTATGTAAGTAATCATTAATTTAGTCCACGGGTAGACCTCATATTTAATGCAAGCGCGCAACCCGGAGAATGGGGTGACAATCAAAATGTCGAATCTACTAGTAGAAACCAGACCTGCCTCCGCAATCCTTATTTTCCTCCCTCCACCAAGCCCACCTAACCTCCCCCAAATTCCGAACCATGCAAGTATCGCGCACAGTCTACCGCGCCGCTCTCCTCCACTTATCCGTTAACCCCTTCGTGCGCGCCTCAATTCCAGCGGTCACTACTACCTGGACGTCCCTCAACCCGGCAAACCAAGCCCCAAACACCCGGCTCTACAGCATCCTCTTCCCGCAGTGCACAACCACCTTCAAAGCATCAGACTGCACGCGCCAAACACGCACAATGTATGACTCAAGCTCGAACTCCGACTCCGCAGCCGCTGCATCCTCAGACCCCGCAACCCAAAACGCAGACACCCAAAACCAAGAGACCCAAGAACAAGAATCCCAACCCCAAAAGAACCTCTACCTCCCCGCCAGCGACCCCTCAAATCCTATTGCGAACCAACAAGGCGATGGGAGCATCAAACTCGACATGAGCGGAGGCGGGACGCAAGTGAAATTGGATCATCTAGGTCCGATGGTTGTCAATGTGGATGGGACGTTGTCGCAGATTGGGAACTGGCAGCAGATGACCGAGATTGAGAAGAATAATACTCTGCGCGTTCTTGGGAAGCGGAACCAGAAGCGGTTGGAGGCTTTGAGGGCTAAGGAGAAGGCGGACGGAGCGTCGGGTGAGGCTTGATTGTGTATAAAAACATACAACATGGAGAGCTTGGCTAGGCCTGGCTTAGTATGTGTTGATATTGCTTCGGTGTATTATAGAAGGTATTGTTACATGTCGTTGATGTCGAGTACGACTAATAATCACGGCTATTCTTTCAGAAAGTATTTTCCAATAACTATATCGGGTATCATAATGATGTTAACATCATATAAACATATGCAATCCACAGTCTAAAGTAGAGACAAATCACCGCCCAATGAGTCACGTCGGGTATCCACAGGTCTGCATCAGAAGTCACTTGGGTATGTTGTAGTCTTAAGTAAATCGCAATTATCCAGAGCAGCGATGATGCCCATGAAAGTCTTATTCGAAGATAATTTGGATCCACTTGTGTACGACAGTCCTATGGCCATTGTTAGCACCGAATCATAACTAAAAGAGAGGTTATACTCACTTCGGTGGTATGACCACAAAGTCTCTAGAATACTCCTCGATCTCAGGGACACCAGTGACTAGATCGACCTCCTCAGGCTTGAGGAACTTGGTCCCGTGGAAGAATTTCCACCCGAAGTAAATAATCGGGAAGACACCTATCATGGTGTAGGAGAAAAGGAATGTCGGGATGGACCAGTTGCCGGGAAGGAAGACGGTGTAGCCACCGACGAAAGCCATGACCGTCGTGCATGCGCAAGCGAAATAGGCGATGTACGGCTGGAACCAGCTGCGGTATGGTAATGTTTCCCGGGCAATTCCTTGGGCCGCGAGAGCTTTCTTGAAGCGGATGAAGGTGAAGGTGACGACGGAGAAGTTGATGAGCTGGGAGGCGGTGACCTGGATTTCGGGGTTAGTTGGATGCATGGGAAAGAATGGGACTGGGGTGGGGGCTCATACCAGATTGACAAACCAGTTTAGCACGACTGATGCGCCGTTGGATACCTGCAGGAAACTCAACAGGCCGACTATGAGCACTATGCCGACACAGTAGATGGGAACACCGTTGTTGGTGCACTTGGTAAGGAACCTGGGGGCTTTGCCCTCAAGCGCTAGACCGTACAGACTGCGACTAGCACAGTACATATAACTGTTACCCGCGCTGAACGAAGCAGTGAGAATGACGGCGTTGACGATGTCTGGCAGGATAGGGATCTTCAAGCGATCCATTGAAATGACATAGGGCGAGGCAGCAGCACCGGGCTTGCCATTGTCGAAAGCATCAGCCATGGTCTTATCGTTGTACGGGACCAGAATGCCGACGCAGAGAACACCCAGAACGAAGAATGCTGTGAGACGGTAGAAGACACCGTTGAAGGCCTTGGGCAGCACCTTGCGCGGGTTAACGGTCTCACCAGCGGCCATGGAGACATAGTCTGGACCGGCGATGGTGAAACTGGCTGTGATGACAGCTGCGAGGACACCGAGGAACTTGCCGGTATCGCCTGTCTTGTAGTACTCATTGAAGGCACCCGGTTCGTTCCAGTAGCGGAAGCCAAACCGATCTCCCAGCGGGTTGCCGCCCAGCATGACAACGAATGTGTAGAAGATCAGACCTATGCTCAGCAAGACCTTGCCTAGTGAGAGCCAGAACTCTGCTTCGCCGTACCATTTTACAGCAAAGAGATTCAGTACTCTGGTTCCCCGTTGTTAGCTGACATCTCATGCTCAGATCACAGAATACGACAAACCCATAGAGTACGATGACAATCACATTCATAGCTGCAACGGGCACCACATCAGTCCAGTATCGGATTATTAGGCTGACAGCGACAATCTCGAAAGGGACCAGGGCGGCCTCGAAAATAAAGAAGTTGTATCCAGCCGCAACACCTAAAGCTTCATCGACGTAGCGGCCGGCAAATCGGATAAAGGGCGAGGAGATAGGCAGGTACGTGACCATTTCAGCCAAGCCTAAAAAAAATATATGTGAGTTTGGATGTCATACTACGAATCCAGACGGAAAACAAGACGGGAGGAGTGTTGCAGCAATTGGGCGATCCGTGGACGTTAGGATAAGAAGCTGAACCGTTGGCGCATTTGGGATCATATGGAATACGGTTTCAGGCATGGGAGGAATGCTGCTGGTGGGAAAGGTGCAAAGGGCTTGGGAAGCATGGGGGTGTTCGTACAGACGGTGATGATCAAAATCACACAACTCCTAGAGAACAGTATAAGATTGCGAACGTTCAGTGAGATATACACAGGAAGCAGGCAAGGACATCATGGACTGAGTTGGGTTCTTGGGTGTCCGACTGGCTTTCAGCAGATGCATGGGCAAAAGGTTAATGGCGATTTGGTCGACATTCATACATCTGGTTGGCATGGAAGTGCCTTGGGCTAACAGCGTCCTACATCCTTGGGATCTGAAATTGTGGAATCAGGCTTCCAATGCAGTTTCTTGATGCTTTGTTTGGTCGTATGGTTCCTTATTCTTTGCTTCTTTGCTTCTTTGCTTTCGTTTGTATTTGGTCCATTGGTTTCTGGCATTTCTACCTACTTACCGTCCATGTTGATGCTGTCGAAAGTAGCAAAGTCGGGACAACCCAGTTCGAGAACCCAATAGAGTCAACAAAACAGTATAACAAGGGAAAGACTAACCAAAGACTGAATCCAATGAACAAACTGCCGGGGCCACTAGTCCGCAGTCCAGATCCGATCTGAACATACAGGGCCGTGCCAATCGTTCCTCCAATTCCGATCAATTGTACATGACGGGGCTTTAGCTTGCGCTGAGTATGGTCATACGTGGATTCCATAGATCCGCTATCGACTGATGGCGCGCGATTCGCGCTGGATGAGTCCTTCTCGGTGACTTCCATCTCTTTGTTCATCTTGGTAGGTTTCGATTCGGGATCAGAGAGGCGGGTGGGCTCTGCGCTCTGTATGGCAGCCGTCATTGGGGTATGAGAGCCATACCCCGATTTAGGGGAATGTGACATCTTGAAGGTCTTCGTAATTCCAGGAAAGAGCGAAGCAATAGCATAAATAAATGCGCAAAGGGGTCCAGACCGAGGTTTTTTAAAGAAAAGAATTGGAGAGAAAAGGAAGCCGACAGGAATGAGAGATTTTTTTTTTCCTAGCTGGGTAGTATTTTCCTGTTTCGCCGTAGTGGGAATGGTCAAAGTCTTGGTCTGGAAGGCAATAGGCATAAACCGAACTAAATAACAGTCGAGGACAAGGGACAAATCAGAGGCAAATTAGAGAGAAACGGCCCCCCCAGTGTCTGATGTCCATCCATTTTATCCCCACATGGCCCCTCTAGGGGGAATGGGGGAAAGGGAGGGGGGGATTGGGGCTGATCACTCTGTACGTCCATTGGATTGGATACTTCGATATGCATAAGCTCAAAATCAAGAGCCTATTGTTTGTAGTGATCACACGATACAACCACATCAGTACAAAATAATTTTTTGTGTGTTTAGGGAGATGCCTACATATGTAGGTAGTATTTTAATATTCAAGTCCCCACAGCTATCCCATGTGGAGAGATTCTTGCCGAGGTCCACGGAGAATGGAGGTTTTCCCCTACACAAGAACTTCAACACATTGTGAAAGTAGATCAACCAGTCTCAGGAATATACGGAGTACTACAACATAAGTACAGCTAACATTATATTGAACATCCCCCCACTAATTAACGCACGCCACATCCACTATGTTCCTGTTCTTTCCTTGTAGGCACTAGTGCTAGTGTCCCTGGTGGCCTCGAAGTCGTTGCCACCCGATTTTTCGGCTGAGGGTCTCTGCTGTGAGTCTTTTCCGATCCAGCTTGGTGGGAAGAAGCCATCGTTGTCTTCAAAATAGAGGTAATGGATCACATCAGAGTCTGTGGAGTTCCGGCGTTGATCCGGGTCGGACGTGAAATGTTTGGTAGTAGAACTTGGATGTGGATGTGTGCCGGAGAACGACATGTTGAACGACAGTTTTCTACTGTGCTACTGCGTGAGAGTTGTGTCAAGGAAAGCAATATAACAATTGACGTTGTGGAACTCTTCTACGGAGTTAGGTCAGGTGCACCTTTCATTCCGAGGTATATCCCGAGGTGTTGACGTCATAAGGGAATTCCCATATCAGCTCTCATACTCTACATATATGAGTGCTAACTAGATTGGGGCAAAAGAGAGAAGCTTGGTGTAGATAGACAGGTATCAATCTGCCCGAAGAAGCAGTCGATCACGGTCTTCCTTATCGTCAATGCACACTCTACGATTGGGCCAATTCTAGAGAGGATATATTGTTCGAGCGGGGGTCGAGGGTCCATTATATAGAGAAACACTAAGGAAAAAGTTAATGATATAACCCACCTGTATTTAGGTATTGTATAGAAGAGGAATTTGAATCATCCTAAATCTTTATACTCCTTAGGATTCTAAATAAAATAAAAATGGAGTAGGCCAAGTAGATAAACTGATCAATCAGACAGCCGACAGTAAGCAGCCCTTAAGCGGCGACCTCGGGAAACCCCGCCAAACTCCAAGATGTTTTTTCCCCCTCGACTTCACCTCCAACAATCACAATGGTCGAAGAAACAGAATCTAAGCGTTTCGCACCCAAAGTCGCAGTCCAGCTCGACCCGCCCAAGGACGACCCCATTTCCGTCGAGGAATTGGCCAAATGCGACGGTACGAGAGTTTACCCCTTCACAGATTCCCTCCCAATTCCTTATTTCCAATGCGCGCAGCTCAAAGACCATTGCTAATGTCTACTGCACTGCAGGTACCGATCCTAACCGCCCGACTCTGGTCGCCATCAAGGGTGTTGTCTTTGATGTGACCCGGAATTCGGCTTATGGTGCCTCGGGTTCATATCGGGGTGAGTGCAGCAACCATTTTATGAAAAGTATAATGAACAATTACACTGACTGTTCTTTTCTCCTAGTCTTCGCCGGCAAGGATGCCTCCCGTGCTCTTGCTTCATCGTCTCTTAAGCCCGAAGACTGTGTGCCTGAGTGGTATGACCTCCCGGACAAGGAAAAGACCGTCTTGGATGAGTGGTACACTTTCTTCAGCAAGCGGTATAACGTTGTTGGCAAGGTCGAAGGCGCCAAGAACACTTAATGGCTATATTACCATCGAGCGGCTGCCTTCACGTGGATTGAATGTGCGACATTATATACCCAGTATGAGAAATGGATCAACAATCCAGTATCAAATATCAAATCCATGCTTTTCATTTTCGAAATGGTGGTATCGCGTAGGTACAAAGAACAGTTCTTCCCTTTGACTGCTGGGATAAATAATGCCTATACATTAAAAAGTAACACTCACGCCTTTAATTCCCCTTGCGGGACTTCCGCTTCATGCGCTTCTGTCCAATAATACGGTTGCGCTTAGCGGCCTTGTCCTCCTCTTCATTCACCTTCTCATCTTTGGGGCCCTTTCCATTTCCAGTCTTGCCACGCTTCGCGTCCCTTCCATCTCGTCCATCGCGGCCATCGCGGCCATCTCGTCCACCTCGTGCATCTCTTCCATCCCTTCCTTTACCACCACGAGTATCAGAGCGCTTCCTTTTCTGACCCCTGTCTCCCTCACCCTCAGCATCATCCGAGCGTTTGGGCCTGGGCTCGCGGGATTTAGCTTGCAGCTCATTACGGCGCTTAACGACCTGGGCATTCTCAATGGCAAACTCAACAACGAGGCTCTTCTTCTTGTCCCGGTCATCGGGATCTTGGGCAGAAGGAGGAACTGCCATGGAGTGGCAGTTCAGCCAGCGCAAACTCATCAGCGCGTGACGGTGAGTGAAGAACTCGATGAATCCGTAGCCACGACTGCGACCACCACCGGTCTTCTCGGAAACCTTGGTACCCTCGCGAGTCTCGAAGACGACCTTGGCCTGGCGCACAATACCCATCTTCTTCTGCTTGCGCAGCTGCTCCAGCTCCTTCATCGTATCGCGGGATCGCTGCTGCTCCTCTTTTGAGAGCGGGTGGCGGGCGCCTGCCTTGACATCCTTGGCGAAGTTGACGACGGACTCTCGAGCAAGCTGCTTCAAGTCCTTGGAGTTGATGTGGCGAGGAAGATTACGGATGGCGAGACGGGTGAGACTGAGGTGGAGAGCTGGGTTCTTCTTAATGAAGGTCTCACGCTGCTTGTAGCTGTCCTCGCGCATCTTGACTTCGGAGGGAGAGAGCTTCTTGTACAGCGGGGAGTTGGAGGGGATCGTACCCTCGTTGAGGAGGTACAGGCGGCGCTTGTCTGTGTCGCGGACCATGCGGCGTGATACTCCTTCCTCTTCCAGCTTGGCGGCTTGGCCCTTGCTCACGGCCCGTGCGACTTGTAGGACGCGGCCTTCGAGGGTGTAGCGGCCGCTTGGGTCGGAGTTTTCATCTTGGAGGACGGAGTGCTTCATAGCAGTGTTTGACTTAGGCTTGTCCTTGTTCGGGGCCATGGCTTCGGCTCCTCGGGGGGCTTCACGAATGCATGTGTTGGCGTCTTCGGGCTTCCAGAAGCAGGCGAATCCAGTGCCACGAGGGCGCTCAGTCTCGTAGTCCAGAACCACACGTGCGTACCGTAGCGGTCCAAAGTGAGTTTTGAAGTGGTCGTAGAGGGCCTGGTCTGTGGCGGTGAAGGGGAGGTTGCGAATGAAGATTGTAGTGGCATTTCGGTCATCCTCCTCGTCTGCCTCGTCATCGTCCAAGTCGTCCAGCTCATCCAGATCATCGTCCTCATCATCGTCTTCGTCGGAAGAGGTTTCGTCGTCTGAGGGCTCTTCCAGAACACCCTCGGCATCTCCCATCTCAACATCATCAGAATCCTTCTCTTCCTTCTGCTCCTCCTCCTCCTCCTCGTCTTCCTTCTTGGTAGTTTCCCAAACGTCTTTCTCAACAGCCCAATCGACAGCGAGTTGACGTCCATCGATCTCCTTTCCGTTGATCATTTGGAGCGCCTTCTCGGCGTTCTTCCTGCCACGCATGGTAATGAAACCGAAACCAGAAAGTTTGCCATTCCTCTTGGGAAGGGTAACAAATTTGACTTTTCCAAAGCTGCGGAACAGGACATTGAGATCCTCGGGCTCCTTGATACTCCACGGCAGATTGCGAACAATCAGCTTGGGTGGCAGGCCTTGTCCTCTCTCCTCTTCCTTCTGCTTCTTGGTCTCGCGGGATGCAGCAGTGGGGACACTGCGTCCAACCTTCTCATCGATCTCACGCTTACGAGACTCGGCATAGTCGACGCGAATAATTTTCCCGTCAAACTTGGACCCATTGAGTTCTTTCAGAGCGCTCTCTGCATCCTCGACGTCGGCGAATGTAACAAAACCGAATCCCTTGGACACCTTTGTCTCTTTGTCGCTGACAACAACGGCGTGCTTGATAATGTAGGATTGCGAGAAATGTTCTGCGAGGCTCTCTGTCGTGGCAGAGGTGGGTAGTGAGCGGACGAAAAGAGTTCTCTTGTTCTGTGCGGCCGAGGCCTCGGCCGCGGGTGTAGTGGCTTCGACTTTAATTTCGGGGCTCTCGCCGTCCGAGAGGCGTCGTTTCTTGTGTAATTCAACCATGGTGGCTTTGTTGCGACTGCGGTTTTTTTCTGCGGTCGAGGAAGAACAAAAAAATTAGCGGCAGAAAACTGAGGCAGATTGGCCCGGGCGGTGTGGGTCCCATCCAGATAAGCCATACGGAGTAGCTTTATCGACTTTATCAACTCTCCATTGATCGCTCTGCTTTTAGCAACAGCACATTGGTGGACGAGATGGATTCCCCGCGCCCAGAGAGTGGTATACCCTCTCGCCCATCGAACTCCACAGCTCCAGGTGCATCTTCAAGACCGAAAATCCAACAGCCGAAACCCCAAGCCCTCGCCAACCGCCCTGGTACTTCCGCGATTTTGGTGTCCACGCGACAAAAGGGCAACCCAATCCTGACCCATATAAAGCTCCTCCCATGGGAGTATGCCGACATTCCTGCGGACTATGTGGTCGGCACCACAACGTGCGCAATGTTTCTCTCTTTGAAATACCATCGCCTACACCCCGAATACATCTACTCGCGAGTGAAACAACTAGCAGGCAAATACAACCTCCGCCTCGTACTGGTGATGGTCGACATACAAAACCATGAAGACAGTCTCAGAGAGCTGTCCAAAACATCCATCATCAACAATCTGACCTTGATATTATGTTGGTCCGCACCTGAGGCTGCGCATTACCTCGAGCTCTACAAGTCCTCAGAGAACGCACAACCCACCGCCATTCGAGCCCAACAGGCCCAATCCTATAAAGAGTCGCTGGTGGAGTTTGTCACGGTTCCCAGAAGTATCAACAAGTCTGACGCCGCGAGTTTAATCTCCACCTTCGGCAGCTTGCAAAATGCCATCAATGCACAGCCGGAGCAGATCAGCGCCGTGCCGGGCTGGGGAGAGAAAAAGGTCCAGCAATGGTGTCACGCAGTCCGAGAAGATTTCAGAGTCGAGAGCACGAAGAGGGCTTCTGCTCCTGCTTCACAACGCCGGGTTCAACTGCCAGCTGTGAATGTAGATGACAGCCATGATCAGAATTTGGACGAAGAGGATGAAGAAGAGGCAATTCTTCGTGAAGTTCTAGCGGAAAGCAGGAAAACAGCAGCTGCGCAAGCTGCACGGCCTACTGAGCCTCAGGCTGGAGGTCAGCAAACTGAAGAGATGAGTGAAGGTATCGCGGCGGCCCTTGCCAGGCTTAGAGACAATGCTGGCTGAGAGCCGATCTGGCTTGCATTCACTGCATTCACTTTTGAATTTTCCCAATTTCTAGAGATGGGCCTCATTGTCACCTACCTGCCTGCTGACTACGGAACCTCTTACTTGGAAAGGAACATCGTCCCCATACCGTGGGGACGCGAGGACGCAATGACATTTTTGTGCATAGCTGTCACAACTTGAACGAGGTGGGTGACATGATGGTCATGATAAGTTGCCGACCTATGTCCGAGACACGGATATAGCTTACGGGAGCCACTCACTCCTACCAATGCCCCCGGCTAGGTGTATATCTCACATCTCCCGCAAGCTTCCGAGGACCCTTCTGGTGTGGCTGGGCATGATTCTCTTCCAATGCCCAAAAGTTCACCGTTGTCGCCTCGCTTGTCTAACATATAGCTCTAGCAAATCCCGGGTATCATGAACATCCTTTCTTGGGGGTCAGGCTAGGATCTTTCTCATGGGTTTCCTTATTGCTTGCGGCCTCGCTGCTTTCGCTGGCGAGAAATGTTTACCCCTCTTAAACTAAACTCTCTCTCCGTTCCATTGTCTTTTCCCTATATTGATAACCCCATTTTGATCTCAAGTCCATCTGCTCCTACTGCTACATTCCGAACAGCCTTCTTCATATGCTATATTCCCCTCCCGCTATACATTTCCGCCCTCTCTTTCCCAAGGGCTTGGTTACGCTCGTCTCTTGGATACTCTTGATCTTTGCTAGCAATTTCCGTCTGTATGTTCACTAGGAGCCTAGATGATAGCCAAATAGCCAAATAATTAGCTAGTTGGATCCTGGACAGCCTACGACTCGGTGGCCTGCCCCTGGGCCGGGCCCGCCATAGAACAGCTGACTAACCACATGCTTACTCATCAGGTACGGCGGTCGACGAGGTCGGTGGGACTCCTGGGCTTCATCCCACCACTTGATGATTATGCGTTCTCTACGCTGAGGTATCTGGGCGCAAGCCAAATCTAGAATGCTATCAACATGTCTGTTCAATCGGACCATTCAAGGCGTCGCTCAAGGGTCCTCCCGAGGTCAAAGCTAGGATGCAAAACTTGCAAGTAGGTGCTTGTCTCCTTTTCCATAGACTGAGTTTGATATTGAGCGTGTCGTAGAATTCGACGAGTCAAGTGCGGAGAAGAAAAGCCTAGCTGTGTTCGATGTACCAGTACAGGTCGCAAGTGTGACTTTGAAGCCATACGGCCCTCTTCCACAAGCTCGGTCATCGTCAACCCTTTGTCATTATCACCAAACACTAATACGGTGTGGCGAGAGCGACGTGCATTTGCCTATTATTTCGAATGTGCTGCCTTCTCTATTGGTGGTGGATTGGATCTTGATTTCTGGCGCACTGTCGTCCCACAGGTTTGCCGCTATGAACCTGCTGTTTGGGATGCCATCATCACCATTAGTGCGCTGTTTGAGTGCCCTCAACAATGCCCAGATCCCGTGCTACAACGTCGTGATAATCCTATCTCTCTCACTAAAACCCGGCAAGACGCTTTGGGCTGGTACTCGCGCTCGGTATCTGCTGTTCGCCAGCGCATTGAGCAGGGTAGCGTAGACGCCTTTGTCGGACTGATCAGTTGTGTGCTTTTCATCTGCATTGAGGCCATCTAGGGAAATGCAGACGGGGCAGTTAAGCTTTACCGTCAAGGCGTGCAGCTCATTATCGCCTTGCGTCCCCAACTAGAATCTGGGGCTGCTAGTAAAGCTTCATTGTTGGAGGATACGATTATCCCGATCTTTATCCGTTTGGGAACATTCGCTCTTGCCATCAGTGGGGCTCCTGTGACCGCTTTACTACGAGACACCGAACATGCCTTGACGGAACAGTTTGACTCACTCAAGTCTGCTCGCGAGGCGATCGTGCTCTTAGCTATAGAGATTCCGCTCTTTGAAACCACTTGCATAAAGCACTTACTCCAGGAACATGTCTTATATGTGCCCGAGGAATTCAATATTAGACTATCCAGTCTGGCCGCCAAACTGAGGAACTGGCGTACTGCCTTTGATAAGTTGATGACAGTTCTTCGCGCCAAAGACATCTTATCGCTGCAACAGATTGGTACCAGTGCCCTTCTGTTAAGTTATCATGAAATGTTGTATGTCATGCTCGAGACCTGCACGTCATTCTCATTGATGCAATTCGACGCCTATCTACCAAACTTTCAAAATATCGTTGAACAATCTGCCATTGCACCTAAAGCCTCGATGCGACCAGACGGCACCCAACCACCATTTACATTTGACATCAATGTTGGTCTTCCGCTTTGGTTCACCAGTCTTCGATGCCGTGAACCGCGTACCCGACGCGCGGCACTCGCTCTACTCCGCCAAGCGCCCTGGGTGCAAGGGTTTTACCAGTGCTCAATATGGGCAGCCGTGGGCCGAACAGTCATGGACCTAGAAGAGTCACATGCAATGGCAATGGATTCAGTCCATCATACACCCAATCTTGGTGCACTGGAGTCCGCAAACGGACCAAATTCCAGCTCCGAACTTGCCGCAAGCTCATATTCTGGTCATGCGGATATGGGGCCGAGAGTACCAACAGCACTGGTTATCCCAGAGGAGGTGCGCATTGGGCCCATTTCTGCTTTTCGACCAATGGATGGGTTTCCCCCTGAAACCACAGAGGCAGATATCGCGAAGTGGAACCGGGGCCCTGATCAAGTCTTTCTGCGGATTTCCCGAAACGAGCGCGGTCTGACTGGCAATTCTTGCCGGATGGTGTACGAATACTTTCCCCTTGACTTTTGATCATAGTATCCATTCATGTGTATTATTGATCAATTTGACGTAGAGAGTTCGCGCTTGTAGGGCAACTGGGCTTTAGCATTCTCCAACCTCTAGTACATAATATTATATCCATTTGCTTCAACTAATCACCCTGGTAATTTCCTTCATATATGGCCTACATTCATGGAGCAGGGTAGTCCAGCTCTGAATATCCCATCTCTTGGGAAATAGCACAGAAGTCGCGGTAGCAACAAGTAGTACAATTGCCAATTCAACTACAACTTCTTTTGGGTATTTTCTTCCTGCAAACTTTTTGGCATCGAAATTTTCATTATGAAAGTGGTTAGAATAATCAACTCTCGATAGTGATAGTGGTTGTATGCGTTGCGTAAAGCTCATCAGATTCCTTTGAGGTGTGACCTTTGTTGAGATATGCATGTAGCTTTGATTGTCTACATGTTGCTATTTTATCAAGCCAGGCTCTTAGAAAATGCATATACTGGCTATTTAGCGGAATCGGTTATTCCTTCCTCTACCCATCACCATCGGAGTAACCACCATCAAGCCTCCCTTCGTTTGGAAATCCCCGGTGTTAGTGTGACTCTTACATCACTTGCTTTTACAAGCAAGTTACCCTATGGTATACTAGAATAGCTCCAGTTGCTGAGCTGTGAGAAGGTTTCAACCATCCAGCAACCTGGGCTGTCAGCCAAATGCCGCAGCTCCCTACTGTGCTGCAAACCTCCATCCCAAGAGACGATCGCAGGGAATATAGAGACACTCATCACCTATACATATGGAGAGCTTGAGGCTCCGGCCATGTGAGCTTCCACGATATCACTGCGGTCATCATGTTACTTAGCATAAGAAACTACTGGCGCTATGCAGAATACGAATCGGTCTAGCGCCCCGGAGCAACATATCCTTACCAAACATCGTCAACAGAGAGTCCCTACTTCACGTTTTGCACACTTGCCGAGCCGGTCACCTCAACTTAGGGCTACCACGAGATATAGGATATAGTTGGCTTGGGACGGTCGACGAACCTAGGACGTCCGAATGCTGGTGTACTACGGGCGTATCCTTACGCACTTCCCAGTATAACCCTTCTCACGCAAAGTATTGAGAGCTGAATACCCATCACTGATATAACTTAAAGGCTCTAATTATTCGCACCATCCTTGGTGGTTGATGAAATCTTTTCTATATTATGCCTGCTTCCGGGATCTGCTTTATTTCTTCTGTCCACCATTTTGATTGGGATAGTCATCCCCTTTGATCACAGGTATTTAGTTGAGAGAGACCTCGCCCAGAATCCCAAATTCTCCATATCAGTGCTTTATTGGAGCTTTATTAGTCCCCCATTGATTTTTTTATATTTGAGTTCGAGCAGCCGTACAAGTTACTATGATCGCTACAGATATATTCGACCGAGAACTTCGTCATCTTCAGTCAGTCTATCGACTTGGACCGGTACACAGGCAGAAGAAACACTATGGGACGATATATATACTTGGGCAATTTACAGTTTAGCCCACTTGAAATTGAAATATCCAAACATGAACGAAGTGGGTTTGACGCCTGGATAGCTGCTAGTCATTAGTCTCTTTGAAGATGAATGCCAACCGATATCTGACAATTCACAGGCTGACTAGCTCGCTGAGTTAGTCTAGCACCATACAATATTCGCCATACAATATTGGCCTTTCGTGAGGGGCGAATTCGAGCGGCCTTGCACAAGAATATAATCAACATGGAGGCCATCGCCGCAAATCTCTAGGTTCTTCTACCGCTAGCAACATAATGTGAGAGATGGACCCAGTCACGAATGAGCCTACTTAGTCAAACACTCGTAGGGCTTTGGTCGGATAACAGGGCCTTTGCTATAAATTTGCTCCTGCCATCTACATTCCTTTTCTCTTTCTCAAACCACATCCTACCCAATTTTAATCGACAAGACCTTGATTTTACTTTCGTCGATCTGAGCCACACATCTCTCACTACCGTTTTCAAGTCGACTTTCATCCTCCAAGATGGATGAAGAAACTGTGGTAGGTCCTGACAGAAGTCATTTGGATAACTCTCACATAGTTATCGGTCGCTCAAACATAAATGCTAATTCATAGCTGATAATTTCTAGACAGACCAGCATGCCGAGTTGATTGAGCGAGACAGGATGTTGTTTTTACGTGAGGCTCGTCTTCAAGCGGCCCTCCGGTCTAACATGAATGCCATAAATTCCGCCCAAAACGAACTCCGACTTTTACTAGCTCTTCGCGGCCAACGGCGCCACTATTTGAACTCGAAAATTGAACAAAGGGAGGCTCTTTTGGAGGAACTGAGGGATCGGAGCCTCCAGTTGCGCACTGACTACGACCACACTCGTGCTCAGCGCTCCGATATCGTGGAATTTATCCACGAGCTGCTCAGCTCTTAGAATTGAGCGAGTACCTTAAGTCAGTCATCGATACAGGTTCAATTACCCTTCAAATCTTTGTTTCACATTCTACACTTCCTCTTAGCATAGCACGGTATGGTAGACTGGAAGGACATGATGTGAGACCGCGAGCATCAAGACATACACTGGGTAGAACTCGAGCTTCTGTCGTAGTATGGGTATATCTTGACGGTTTTTTGGACTTCATACCAACCACCGACGTCACTTTTGGATAAACTTTAACTCATGACTACATGTAAAGGTTTGTAGCAGTATCAACACGACGGGCTCATGGAGCGTCTACGGGAACCGGCTTCTCGCGAGGGACAATTGCGGGCTGCCAACCTTACATCTATAAGGGACACCAACCAAGAGCTTAGCATCCTCGTGGCTCTCTTTCATGGACACGGGCTTTCAACTACGCGTAGGATCACAGAATTGGAGGTCACCCGGGAGGAACTGAGAGAACAAGAAGTCTGGTTGACCGTGGAGTGGAGTACGATCACACTTGTGCCCAGCGGGCAGAGGTCGAGCTCCTGGTCGACCAGCTCATCGGTCGCATATACCTAGGTAAACGGCATATCTTGTTACTTTCTTTTAAAGTTTGTCTCCTAGCGCTTGTGTGTCTTCCTGAAATTACAGTTACCATCGGCTAGGTGCTTTCTTTAAGTTCCTAGCAGTAAATCTCGAATTTTCTTTTATCATAGAATTCTATATTCTTCACCACTAGCAACATGATATAAGAGATCAACCCCGTCACAAATGAGCCTACCTAGTCAAACAATTCGTAGGGTCTTGATCGAATGGCAGGGCTTTTGCCATAAATTTGCTTCTGCCATCTATTTTTCTTTCTCTTTCTCAACATACTTTCTCTTGATGAGATATTGTTACAATATAGCAATGTCGTATGATATCGCGTAGCATTTTGCATGCGAACAGTCCAAGCAATGTACGAAAGGTGCCCAGATGAAGTCTTTCATACAAATAGATCAAACAAAGTGAAACCCTTCCGTAGATGCGTATGTGCATAATCCTACGGCGTTATGTGTTTTAAGTCTATTCCATCTTACTTGGAAAGATCTCTAGACCACCCTAGCAGCGTACACTAGGCAATGAGCGGCCTAATCAACTATTTATACTGACCGTCGATATCAAATATACTCAATGAAAGCTCAAGGCAGAGGAACACAATTTCAACCCACACCCGCATTTTGACTATTTCTTCGCGGCTCTGTCCCGGTAATCCTTTAGCACCGACGTAGGCTTTCCGCTATAATGTGTCTTTTCCATCCACTCTTTCACAGACTTCACTCTTGTTGGCAAAATCGTATCCAATAGTTGATAGTCCCTCCTAGTCAAATTGTCCTTCCATGTATTCCAGAACCCCGAGAAGTTTTCCCTATAAGTGAGTAGAGTCGAGTCATTAGGATCAGTCGAATGACCAACCATCATATCCGGATCCAGGATACCAAGCTTGAAATACTCATCCAAGGCCACGTCCTTATACACTGCCTTTTGACCCGTGACTTCCGAAAACGCAGATGCAAGGTCTTTCCAACTAATATCCTCAGTCGCAACATGTAATTCGAGCCCATTGCTCTGATCAGGCCTATCAAAGATCCATCTCGCATATGCTCCATAATCCTCTAGGTAGATCAGAGGACATTTCCCTTCCCCAAGAGGCACCGTGAAAACCATCGTACCCGGATCTTTAGGATCAGGGAACGGGCGCAGAAATTCCGACAAAGCCTCCATATACATGCATGACGTCAAAATAGACCATGCCATAGGTGATGTCGGCTGCGCGGAGATAAAATCCACGACCTTACCCTTCCCATCTAAATGACCGCATCTATACTTACGTTGGAAGTTACCAAGCTTAGAACCGTATTCCAGACCTGCGTAGACAAAGTGCTCGACTTTGAATTCTCGGGCTAGCTCGTAGAGCCTGATGCCCCAGTATATCTCTGCTTTTTCGCCAATGGCGAAGCCGTTGGTGTTGGCAAAGACGCAGTTTATGTTTTTGAAGGCTTGACGGAGAGTGGTTTCGTCATAGCTGTTTCCTTCAAAGATTGATACGCCTGATAGGCTTGCTAGGTCCTTCGCCTCTTTCGAAGACGCGCTTCTTGTAAGGACGCGGATATTATATCTGGAGTCGGTCGCCAGGGCTTGCGAATGCGTTAGTCGTGCTTGTGAGATTACATATTTACACACACCTTTCACGACGGGTACCCCCTGGGCACCTGTTCCGCCGATGAACAACACGGTTTTCTTCATATTCAGATAATAAGTTCTTTAAGGACTAGTTGATGGTGAGTTAGAGAAAGGAAGAGGCGAGGTGGTTCTATTTACCAGCTGGCCTCAGTATCTGACGTCAGAATGTGTCTTACATTGCCGGTGGGGCTCGGTCTCGAGGTGGACAGGAGAGATACTATTCTAGCAAGCGGTCTGGAGAGCGGGTTATCGCCTTGGCAAGGAGTTGACCCGCAATTTTAACTCCAGTAGCCAATACCCCCAAACTTATACTTATCATGATCCACCCCGAAGCTGTACAGTAGTCCTACTAGCCTTACATGTGGTGATGGGGAGTCTTTACCCCAACCACTTTCCATCTTTCAGAAGTCTACAGAAGCAATCAGAGTTCCTGTATTTATCTTACTCTATCAGAGTCACAAGACAAGAGTTCATTGTACTTTGACGCCGAGTAAGGCGAATAATTACTTGGCAAAATTAATATACCCCTTTCCCTTGACAAAAGTAGCAAGCCACGGAACAGAAGGGTCCTGTCTGTCGGCAAGCTGCTTAAAGAACTCGGCATGAGCCACGCCATCAACGCCTGTTCGCATTGATGTTCCCTCAGGCGTGCGCTGATCAGCATAGTAAAACCTGAGATGATGGTTAGCTTTGTTCCTGGCCAGTGACGAGCAAAGTTTGGTGTATTTTACCTGTACCCCTTTTGAGAGTAAGTTTGGTTTGCCGATCCAATCCAGTATGCACTTGCTGCTTTGCCCACTCCTAAAGTGAGCAAAGCACTGGAGGCTGAAATAGTTGTATTCAGCCAGTTTCCAGTATAGATGAATGTTTTCTTCGCACTCTCCGGGAGCTGCTCAAATCCCTTTGCTGCGTAGTCAGCGGCAATGATTGCGCTGAGAGTATTAACCCAGATATCGCGATCCAGAGCTTCTGGGGAAAGAGAAAGTGGAGCATCGGGGGGTGGAGGTGTGAAAGTTGCCGCTTAAGGGCAGAAATAATTAGCGCCACTTCAGCATCAGGATCCCAGGACCTTACCATTGTAGATAACAACACTGGGGATTCCAGCTGCAGATTTCACTTTCTCAAAGATTCGAGGGACTGCCGTTTTCTCTGACAAGTCCGCTTTAATCATGATATACCCCTCGGGTGATATGCCGTTCGCGATGCGACGAGCAGAAATCGCGACCTGATACCCATCTTGGCTAAATCGGTGGGCCACGGCCGTGCCTACGTTGGCACCTGCTCCAAGGATGAGCACAATCGGCTTGGACATTCTGGATATAATTCGATATAGGAATGTACGCAGATCTAGTCCTTGGTGGTTCGGTTTTAAGTACTTATCAGAATTCAATCTAGGGCTTCAACAATGCCTATTATATATTTTCCAAATCGATGAGGTGATATCACCATACTTTTATGCTTACAAATAACCTAAAAGCTCACCTGGGCAGACTTCCAAGGTTGCTTACCGATAATCTAATAATCCTTTGAAATCAGACTTAGCTGCCAAGAAATCCATACTAAGAGAAATCATTAATTTTGACATCCGAGCTGGCCCACATACCGTTACATATTGTGCCGTAAATGCTGCTCGTGAAAGACTTAAAATTTCTCAAGACACTTAGTAACTACCAAGGCTATATGAAAACTCGTGAATTGGAGTGCTTTACAGCTTAGTGAATTTCCTGAAAGTTTCATGTTGCACGGAATGCAAACCCAAATATAGGAGGATTTGGATGTTTAATACTAGTGAAGTGACGATCCTCTTCGGGACAAAGCATAGGTCACTTAATAATGACAAACATGAGATGTAGTTAGTTGTATGTACCATAGATCACTTGATAATGACAAACATGTTAACGTTGCATACACCATACCTATAAAGTCTCTGCCTGCTACCCCTTAAGAGATCTATAAAGTAGGAGATGTTCCCGTTTGTGGCCATCACTTTCACAATCTAAAGCAACAGCATCTTTATTATATTTGCCCTTGAAACATATATTTCACCTCTGAAAATGTTTTTGAATATAAGCACCATGCGTTCTTGCATCTTGCTCTTGATAGGCGTATTCAATATTGCCAATGCAGATTGTATGTACTTTAATCTTTCGTTCCCCCAATTATGCACTAATGAGTAGTAGCGGTTCCTTTTGAACGTCTAAATGTGAATGATTCGGTAAGTCTTGTGTCTATCCTGTCCAGTGATGTGCTAATTTTATGCCAGGTTCTGCTCATTGTCGACATGCAGGTTGGGTTACTCAATCTAGCTCGAGATTTTGACGCTACCCTTTATTACAACAATATGATTACCCATGCAGCTATTGGAGAATTGTTCGATATCCCGATTATTATGACCACCTCCGCTCAAACAGGTTAGGGAACTTACCATTATTACTCATACTACCCTCATATTTGCTGACAACAAGTGTACTCATGATATTCAGGCCCTAATGGACCGTTGCCAAAAAAGATTCTCGAGATGTACCCTAATGCGCCTCTAATCGAACGTCAGGGGGAAATTAATGCCTGGGACAATCCGGATTTCAGAAAGGCTCTCAAGGCCACTGGCAAGAAACAAGTTATTATGGCGGGAATTGTGACCGATGTCTGTATGTGTATTCTCTATTATCCTTGTAGCGATGCTCATACTAACTTCCTATCTACAGGTGCTACTTTCCTGGCACTTTCTCTGAGGGAAGAGGGTTACAGCGTTTGGGAAAATGTTGAAGCATCTGGAACCATGTCACCATTGATTCGAGATGTCTCCAACCTTCGCATGCAGGCTGCAGGTGTTCAGCTTGTGGGCATATTTAGTATTGTGGCCGATCTTTGGAGAGATTGGCGAAACGCTCCTGGAAGTGAGACGGTTCTACAGTGGATGAACAAATATGCTCCCGCCTACGTGACAAGTGTACCTGCACATGCTGCTGCTATTTTGAATGGAACTCTAACCCCTGGTGAGGAAAATTTCATCTAGGCATAGGCAGTGGGTGTCAAGGGGTTGCAAGGGGTTGACAAATCTGAGTGTTCTCAACCCCAACGTTGAGATGCCGTCCGCCGGGGGGGAGCGTGGTTGAGAAGATAAACCTTATATTCTGTCGAACCTGAGGTACAATTGTGAACAGAGGATCTAGATGAATACTAAAGAAATAGAGTACTAGAGTACTTTGGAAAACCTGTAGTCGCGTGGAGGAGAGAAGAAACTATCTACACTTGCTATGGGCTAAAGTGTTAGGAGCAAACAAGGAGTCACTGGAATTACCGTTAGCCAGCGCCTTCCGGGTTATCTTTTATATTATTTCCATTGTCTATTAAGCTAGTCACCTAGCCCCTGTTCTTTTTTATATTCAGCGTAGCTTCATAGCTAGATTTGATGAATCAGATCTTTCGACGACTTCAGATCCGAATCATTTGATTTTATCAAGGAAGCTGCCAACTCCCTACGTATTTAGTCGAAATCGTGACAATTTCATAGAACTAGGGGTTACCTGACCCTTCCGGCTAAGCGTGATACCGATGGCTCAACGCGCAGTTCTGTAGGGGCAGCAGCTTCAGGACGTCATAGCCCCGTTGATTTTGCGATTTTAGTATTATAGAATAGCAGGTATTTGCCTCCTACTCCTCTACTTTACTTCTAGATAGTTACTGGCACTTTATGATTATTCCTTAAAGCAGATAGTAGCCAATTAGTTCCTTTATAGCCTTTAACTACTCGCTGATGACACTTTCCTCAATTGCACTCAATATTCGGCTTTCTTCAAATGCAATACCCTGCCCGGTGCACTGCGCAAACCCTTCCAACCTTTGTCGAACACCGTCGATATCTACCAAACCCGCTTTAAATGATTCGTGGCCCTGAATCATATCCCAGGCAGCTGCTTTATCTAAGAGCTTTTCACCCGTCTTGCTCTCCGTAATCCGATGGACTGGGTGGTTCCATACATCACTTGCAATCGAATCCAAAGCGGGATTTAGTCGGGGAGCCTCCAGGAGTGTCGCAGGTGTCAATTCGGTGTCTGATACAGGCCCATCTTTAGTCGAGCGGTTACCGCTATGAATTGTTGCAAGAAGCGCATCGCTCTCTGCCGAAAATCGCACGATCTCCAGTTCAAGTTGTTCATTGTTCGTGCTAAGAGCCCTATTTTTTTCCTCTAAGTGGCCAATCTTCTGCGTCAGATGGACACTGCGTTGCTCCTGTCGCTCACGGTAGGCCTTCTGACTGCCAATGGACGGGTTAGTTGTGGTCACGAGCCTATATTCACTAGTCACTGACGGGGTGAAACATACGCGGCTCTCCTTTGCATCTTTCGTTTGTCTTCCGCAGCGATTGATGGCTTATTTTGTGCCTGTGAATCATTTACTGGGACAGAGTATTGGACGCCCTCATCCCCATCCCCCTCCCAGAGTGTTGCTTGCATGCTCTCATCGAGAAGACCCATCAGAGCGAGAAAACAAATTGACAGGTATCAGCAAGCTAAGTGCCAGCGAAGAAGATTATGGAAAAGTCGGTCGGAATGAGTAGTCTGAATCACCTTCGATCTTAAAACCAACTTGAACAAGGCTTTTAGTTTTTAAATCCAGCTAACTGGTTCAATCGAAGGGGATGGGTGACTTCAGATCATAAAGTTTGCGGTGATTTGTCATCCAGTTAGGACACCGAAATGTAGAAAAGGGAATTGGCATTGAACCTTCAATCTCTATCTTGGTAATAATAGAAACAGAATAACCAGAAATTACCGTGAGCTACTTCGTACTATAAGTGGGGTGCTTCGTTAGCACATCGGTCCAGTGGAAATACCCCACTACCCAAATGACATTATCAATCTCTCGGCCTCGCCCTTGACCGCAGTTCAGACACAATGCGATGTGACCACAGCGATCCAAGCAGATGTGCGGTTCGGATGACACAATCTTCCATGGCTTTCTCGTCACGATGGATCAGGCAGACACAAAAGAGCGGAGGGACTCCGGATCTCACGATATCACATCTCCGGACAAACTCGTCTGTCAGTACCACGGAAGCGAGGAGATTGTTAGGGCCGGAACTCTCGCAGCGCTGGTGGAAAACCTGACGCGCCACGACAAGCTCGACGGTTCCTTCAACCGGATTTTTTTCACCACTTACAAGTATTTTACCTCTGGAGCAGAGCTCGTTGAGCTCCTCATCGATCGATTTGACTGCTCGCCTCCCACATTAAACGCCACCCAGAAGGCGAAATGGTCGACTCAGACAAAGCCACTGATTCAACTGCGTGTGATAAATGTTCTAAAGCAATGGCTCGAACATTTTTGGAACGAGCCAAAAGGCATTGATACAGATCGGAATTTGCACTACAGTCATTTGCAAAGCGCGCCACAGATGCCACCGAGACAAGCGCGACACAACAACTTCTCACAATCATTCAGCGCCGACTTGCGGGTTTCGATTGCAAGAGAAGATCCCTATCATCCATCTCAACCCCGCCAAAGCCAATTCTGCCACGGAAATTAGACAAACTCCAGTTCCTCAAAATCGATGCCACGGAAATTGCCCGCCAGCTGACTATCATGGAATCGCATATGTTCGGCAAAGTACAGCGAGACGAATTGTTAAACAAAAACTGGCAAAAGAAAGACAGCTCAACCACACCCGAGCTAGCTCCAAACATCAGGGCCTTGATTCGTTATTCCAATCAGCTCTCTAATTGGGTCGGCGCCCTAATACTCACAGAATCGGATTTGAAAAAGCGCACTCAAGTGGTAGGGCATTTAATCAATGTGGCCAACGTACGTTGTAATCTCTAGCCTCATTGTAATGCTTCCTATATGCTAATTTTCACCTATTACAGACATGTCATCAACTCCATAACTATTCCGCGGTGGTCTCTATCCTGGCAGGCCTAGAAAGCGCACCAATCTACCGGCTTGTTCGCACTTGGGCAATGGTTACCGAACGCAGTTGCAACACACTAAGGCCCTTGCAAGCTATGATACGCAGTGCACAAAATTACCAAGCCTACCGTGACACGTTACGGGTTGTAGTGGCACCGTGCGTTCCTTTTCTTGGTAAGTTATATCGTTATCAGTTGAAATGCCGATGATTAACCATTCAACAGGTTTGTTTTTGAAAGACTTGACATTCATCGAAGATGGGAACCCAGCCATGACACCGGAAGGGCTCGTCAATTTCCACAAATATACTATGTTAGCATCAACCATCAATGAGGTTCAACGTTTAAAAGAATGCCCTTACAACTTAAGACCCGTTCCAGAGTTGCAGGAATATCTTGCGACTCAGTTGCAATCGGCTGTTGATTTACACGATATGTGGGACAAAAGCTGTGAGCTGGAACCTCGAGGCCGGGATCTTGGAAATAGACCCCGGGATCTATATATCCCCACAGGAGGCATGTTCGCGTCTATGGTGGTCGCCTGCATGGTCCTGGATGATTGATATGTTAATTACAAAATTTAAATTCAGTGGTTTCGCCATGTTGCATTGAATAAACTGAAGCTAGTCTAGCTCAGCCCTCAACAAAAGTTCTCTAGTGTCCCTGCACAACTTTTGACTCTTATGTTTATCATATACATGTCTAGCCTTCGATGAGTAAAGCTGATAGTGTATTCAGGTTGCCGGATACAATAAGCAGATTGGGCTTTTACATTCTTTCCAAGATTACCTATACAAGTATTTAAGATTTTTCATTATACTAGGTGTCTAGGTAGATTTTTTATATATACTGTTTCTATTCTCCGATGTCTAGACTCTCGTGCTGATTGGCTTCGATTCGATGTACGACTACATGTTCTGACTCGTCAAAAACATTAACAAAAGACTTGGTGCGGTCATTAGACTCAGTGCCATGATACGGGGGATAGAAAGCTGCGGCCAGACCATTCCTTATAGTGTAAATTTGATGGATCAGGAATTAGTCCCGCTGTAAGATGCGCTTGCGGTGAATATAAGCTCTTCTTCGCAATAATTCCTTCCGTCTTAGATCGTGGTTCGGGCAGTCGGTGTGTTGAATGGTTTTAGCTATCTATCTTATTCTCCAGGGTGAGGTTGCAGAAGACCCTCCCCGGACTCATTTATATTCATCTCGGGATACACAGACACAGAAGAAACTCCGGTGCTCGGACGTTATTGGAATAACCGCTGAGAAGCAGTAGACGGTCCCGACGCCTTAGAGGGGCTCCGTGCTTTAACTGCCGGTGCTTTTGCGTATTCTGAAATATGTGGAGAGGAATGCGATTTGCATACACATGTGCCTGGAGCTGAATGAGAAACTCAGATCTAATAAGCCAACGGATATGGTTCCAAAGGGATGTTGATTGAGCTCCGATGGAATATCTTTGTGTATAAAATGTCAGCATTTACCAGGTCAAACCCCGTGGGTAGATAGTCAGCCCTAATCGAAGAGCCAAGCATCACAATGCGCTGCCACCAAGTGTTTCAGTTTATTTTCTTTGTATCAGCATCACTCAGCAGCCCAGTGTCTTTGTATACATCGAAAGAAGCTCAGGATGTCTCAGACATCTTCAACAAGCTATTCAACACATCTACAAGTCGTGCTCCCTTCAGCACGGACATATACCAAGAGCTATCTGAGCTCGAAGCTAAGATATCAGGCATCGCAACAGGCACAATCAAGCCAGTGTCAACAATTGAAGAAGGCCTCTCGGCTCTTTCCTCAATTCCACACACCAACAACCGAACAATCCTCCAAAATGCCATTGATATAGTATCCCTAGGTTTAGTCCCAACAAACATCATCGACATCCTTAACGGCATAACAAACCACGAAATAAACTCCATAGCCAACAACAACACAAAAGACCCAAGTCCACGAATCCACCCAACAAGATCTTTCTGGGACGCACCCTACGACATCCCCGAAGCAAACCTCCGCAGCGCAATTTACATCCCGCCAACCTTCTCCTACGGGAAGAACAACAAAATCCCCGTCCTCCTAGTTCCAGGAACCGCTGACCCAGCCGGCAGCACCTACTACTTCAACTACGCGAAGCTCTTCACAGCAAACCCACACACAGACCCAGTATGGGTCAACATCCCGGGCAATTCGCTGGGCGACATCCAAAGCAACGCAGAGTACATCGCCTACGCAATAAACTACATCTCGGGACTCTCGAAGCGTCCCATCGGAGTCCTAAGCTGGTCGCAAGGCAGCGTGGACGTGCAATGGGCGCTGAAATACTGGCCGTCGACACGAGCAGCGGTAAGCGACTTCATGGCTGTGAGTGGTGATTTCCATGGGACGCTTCTTGCGACGCTGTGCGTGCTGGCCAAGCCGTTTTGTTCGCCGGCTGTGCAGCAGCAGGGGTATGATACGAGGTTTATTCGGGCTCTGCGTAGTGAGGATGGGGATTCGGCTTTCGTGCCAACGACAAGCGTGTACTCTGGGAATGACTTTATTGTTCAGCCGCAGAGTGGGGGGTGGGCTTCTGCGGCGCTGGGGGATGTCCGTGGGGTTGGGGTGTCGAATGTGCAGGTGCAGGTTGCTTGTGCGGGACGTGCTGCTGGAGGGTCTTATTCCCATTCGGCTATGTTGGCTAATCCGTTGGCGTATGCTTTGTTCGTTGATGCTTTGGTTCATGATGGTCCTGGGAAGTTGGAGAGGATTGGTCTTGATGCTGTTTGTGGCGAGTCGCTTGCGCCTGGTTTGGATGTGGAAGATTTTCTGGGGATGGAGGCTGTGTCGAATGTGGTTGGGGTGCTTGATGTGTTGTTGTATGGGTATAATGGGAGTGGGGAGCCGGCGCTTAGGGACTATGTACATCACTAGGCGAGGTTGTTTATGTTGGGTATTGGGTTGGGGGATTTTGGGTTGAAGGCAAGGCTATATTCCGTATTCACCCCAGGGGAAACCTGTAAGTCCATACCGGACAGGGCGCTATGATACATGTACAAGGCCAAATGCTTCCATTGGGTATTATTGTGTGGATCTCTAGAACGAAACTCCAAGTCCGTAGAGATCATCACGGCAACAAAAAGCATAGCACGAAACCTCCCCGACGCCAGCCGGCAAGTGGCGACACAACAATGAGTATGAATATGAAGAAAACAAAGAAACAAAAATAAAGTGGATATAAGACCCGGCAAGCAGACTGAAAAGGGATGTGCCGCAAACAAACCTTGGAAATCGCAGTTGATCGTAATTCGGGCACTCCATTGCATGGCCAGCGCTAACTATTCAACACCGACACCCGGAGAATGGATACCATGGCACGGGGTATGTGGACAGAGGCATGGGATGCTAGGGAGCAAGTCGAAATGGGAGTCATCAAATTTTGGTCAAAAGAAAATGATAAATGGAAAGCGGGCATTTATGTAGGCTTTTCACATCCAATGCGGCCCAAGAGAGCTTTCCGGTCACTCGGATCGAAAGGAACACGACCACGGCCACGCGCGCGCACCGACGCAGTGCCGTTGGACCGCCGACGATCCAAGCCCGGGGCGTTTCCAGTATCGAGTTGGTCGGTAGGGGCACCGTCCTTGGCAGCCAAGTGCGCTGGAACGTGAGATGCGGTCTGCTCTTCCACTTCACCTTCGTCTTCCTCGTCACTGCGGGTGTCTTCGGCGTTACGGCCGCAAATCACACCGTAAGCAACACGGACAATCATACTAAACCATACAATGGACAGTCCCTCGATGAGCAAGAGAAGGGATAAGAACATCCATTTGAGAGTGGGGTTGAAGCAAATGGGGTTGTCCAAACTGAAGTATGGACCAAGCATGTATGCGAAGGCATTCGGGGCCTCCGCTGAGATGAACTCGCTTGTCGAGCCGGCGTAGCAGCCATAGGTGAGTTGGCGGGGGAGATCATAATAAACGGACCAGCACACCATGGGGTAGATGATGTGTCGGGTAATAAACCATGTGCCCATGAAGAGGCCAAAGCCAACGTTGCAGGCTGTTTCGAACTTGGAGTATTTGAGGATCTTCGCAGACTGTGGAGGTATTAGTAGCTGTTTAGGGACACATGACCAATAGTAATTGACGGACCGGTAACAAGAAGTCCACAATATCCATGAGACATAGCACTACATTGGACACATTGTACATAGCGTAGATGTAGGCAGAGCTCAGGAGAGCAGTGGTGATAATGTGGTGGGAAAGCATCTGGACATGGTCCTTCCGTCTCTCTTCCACATGGATCATGAAGATCTGCTGCACAAGGAATGCAAGCTCAACGAGAAGATACCACTTCATCAAGCCCGACAAAGGACGTGCGGGCCACTGCGACCACATAGCGGCAAAATCGCCCCAGTAGTATGACGTCTTCCAGAGGTACTGCAACGTAGAACCAGCGGTTAGTTATATATTCCCAGGTAGATATCTGTGGGCCAAACGCACCAATCCGACTCCCCAGATGAACGAATAGTACATAGCTTGCCAACCCTGCTCAGCGATGCGAACCGACTGTTTGCGCTTTAAACCACAGGCGCGGGCTAATGGTTGCATGAACCATTCAATGGCGATAGCACGGATAGCAGTGAGTGCGACAGCAGCACTGATGACGAAGTAGACATCGTTCCAGCCCTGGACGTAGTAGTTCGAGGATTCGTTATAATAGGACAACTGGAAGAAGGGCTGGGTATATGGGCGGAGCGAGGGGTAAAGGTTATGAAGAGCCAGCAACATAAGCAGGGTGGTCAAGGAGATTCCTGTAGAGAAGCAATTGGTGTTAGCGGTACTAGTATTCTCAGGATGTGGGGTTTCGCATATGCCAGGGATTCGATTAGGAGCGCAGCGACTCTGTCGGGCACAGCTTTGCCTTCATCTCCATCCGAATCCAAGGATTTAGGTGTTTCTTCATACCGATCTGGTTGGTAACCACCCATTCACGGAACGTGGTCTCCTTGGCTGGTCGTAATCCACTTGGAGAGGAAACGTAGGCATTGCGCCCCTTCAGCTCTGGTAGGGGCTGCGATGGCACAGCTGTGTCTGCCATGATGGTGAGAGCACCAATGGTGTGGAGGATATTCGAAATTCCACGGAGGGCCGTGGGAGAGGAGAGCCGGGAGTCGGGAGAGTCGAGAACCGGGAATGGAGCCAAAATGATCAATGCCGAGATGGATGTGGGACCTGCCTCATCTGAGCCTTATTTACTTTCTAACTTGACTCGTTCAACCAGGAACGTGAAAAGCAACAGCGTGAACGTTCAAGAGAATAATGTGTAGGAGAAAAGGAGGGAATAGAGGGGGAACGTGGTTCAACTTTGGTTTCATCTCTTCACGACGATCATCTCCACTCACCGCCTCGTTTAAGTGTTGAATGTCGAGATTGTTGATTGGACCCTGGAGGTGCATGCACTAAGTTCAGATCTGTCTTGGCTTGATATTTATATGATTTTTTTCGTTGGATTCTGTATAGGGGTTGATGTCAACAGTCTACCATTTCCGGTCTATTTACACTCTTTGCCACTCTCTCGTGTCTTGGCACGGGATATGAGAAATGGGATAATAATACATGTGTACGTACATATATACGATGTATATATTAAATTAGATATACACAATCACTCTAAACCCTCCGTAACCTTTCGCACAAAATCATTGGCATTGACCCCCAATTGAGCCAAATCAATTCCACCCTGCCCAGCCATCACCCGCGACATGGCCCTAGCAACTTCTTCCTCCTCCCAAATATTGTTGAGGATCTGCTCCCCACCTTCTCCAGGCCCCTGGGTGGGGTTCTCGGAAGCCACCATAGTCCGCCAATACAAATCATCTCGATTCTTCAAAGCCGAATCCCGAACCACCGCATTGCGAGTGACGCTCGCAGCATGGAGTTTCGTGTTTGCGCCCATGAGCGTCTGCACGGCCACCGACACCGCCTCATCAACCTGCTCGACCGTCGAGGGTGGCTTAAAAAAGAACCGGTTGGTCGCGGAAAGCCATAGCACAAGCGAGCAGATCACATCGCAGACCACGAAGGCCAGCGGTCGCAGGAGCGTGATGTTGTTGTAGATGCTGGAAGGCGGTGTCTGGCCTGCGCGCACAGACCGTGGCGCACCCTGGATCGCGTCGTAGGTGGCCATGATGTAGATGTCGATGGCTGCGAGGACAAGTCCGGCTAGTGTGAACTTTGTGCGCCAGCGGGAAGCCTCGCGCCCTGCGATGGGCGCGGATGTGGCAACGCCTAGGAGCAGCAGGTGTCCTAGGTGTGGCAGCAACACGTGGAATGGGAGGTAGTACATGAGGTATGTGTAGAGGTTGTCGAAAGAGCAGTATTGGCACGAGACTAGGGCATCGGGGCCATAGGTCAGGTATACCTTGCGGGCACCCAGCGAGGTGAACTTGGACTGGAGGAGGTTGTCGGCTTCGGTGAGGAAGTTATCTGGCCGAAGCCGGGCGAGACGGTTGAAGATGACATCGGTAGGGGTGTTTAGACGAGAGCGAGTCTGGGAGAAGATGTTGGGTTCGGGCGCGTGTGGGTTGAAAGGTAGGCTTAGGAGTAAAAAGAAGACGATGCCACCGAATAATATGTTCAGCGCTCGACCGGGCGCAGCAGGCAGAGGACGCGGCGGTGGCCGACTCGCGATGGATACACGGAGACTTCGATATGCGGTAATTAGGCGTGGGAGTAGGACTGGGCCGAAAAATATGAGGAGTGATTTAACGCTATTCACGGTCAGGATAGATTGAGGATGTGGAGAGCTTCAATACTTACGTTCCCCAGGAGATTGTGATTGTAGCCATATTTGCTAGAATATGGACCCTACTTCATCGGAATCTCGAACAAGTTGGAGTTTCGACGAAAGAAAGGTGTAAGAGTGTTTGAATGTCCAAGGTACATAGGTAGCTTCATTGAAGTCGGGGCCAAACGTGGGTCCCGTCCTTTTTTTGGAAACTGCCCTCAACCACCAAGACTTACTTCTATACTCTTGTAATCTACACTCGATTACTTTAGTTTGTCAACATTAACAGCTACGCATACTACGAACGGTCCAGCATAAAAACTTTATGTCTCAATTAGATCGGTTAAACACTAAACAGCCGAAGCAAAAGTCCAGGGGAATAAAACAGCGCCGAGTGCGCCCATCGCAATAACGCAAGATTTCTGATTCAATCAACGCGAGTCTTTCCTTTCCTTCAAATAACGCCATTTTCGAACCAGTTGACCAGTCAACTAGCTCAAACCATGTGGCCCGAGTACATAGCAGGGTGGTGTGCGAGGTCCGGGGGACGGATCTCCGCAGAGTCACGAGAGTACTTGGAGGAAGCGGAATCGTTCTCTTCAACGAGGGTCGGGTTCATCGGCTTGGAGATCTTGAGCGGGAACCGGCCGGTGAGACGCTTGGTGGCACGCTTGACGGGGTTCTGGCGAGTGTAGGTGGGTAGGGTTTCCTCGCGCTTCACGCTCAAATGGAGGGTGCGGTGGCTGCTGGTCCGGCTCATTGCCTTTTGCGGTGCGACAGCGCCGTCTACCCGCACCTGGCGGGCACTGACGCCGGTCTCGGGGTCGCTGAAGATGTAGCTCTGTTGGGAAAAATGGGTTAGCATTAGGTCAAGGATACACATTGGGCGTTTCGAAGTTTTTGATTTCGATACTTACTGCCAGAACATTCACCACACTGACTATCATTGCCAGGATGCCGGCGGAGGTGATGATTTGCCAGAAAGTCATTCCAATTTCTTCCTGTGTCATGGCTTTGGTGTTCAGGTTGCCCAGTGTCGCAACACCCAGGATCATCATGATCCCGCCGAGGGAGTAGAAGCTAGATTCTTGTCCGAACATCGGCCAGTGGCTGTCGAAATAGCTTTGGAGGACCGGGAGCTCTGATATGATCATGAAGACTGCCAACGTTAGCATTTATATCATATACATGGAAGGAAGAAAATACATACGGCTGACCAGAGCCACCACGGCATGGGTCACAGCCTCGAAGAAAAAGAAGCTGTTCAACATGTCGATTTTGGCCAGCAGGACTCCACAAGCAGCTATAAGATCCATAAAAGCGATAATGTTCAGAACGCGAATGACGTTCAGGATCACGTACCCTGGACCGGCCAGGGACTCACGCAAACGAGTCATCATGATTGAGGCACAAGCCTGTTTCTGCACTTGTCAGGGATGGTAGATACTCGCTGTCGAGGATGTATAGAAGATTGTCTGTTAGCAGACTTGAGGGGGAGGGCTGGGATTAAAAGAGGGAAGAAAGCGACTGTCCAGCAGAAAGCTTGATATTCCAAGAAAGGATGGAACAATGCAACAGAACGAGATCAACTCGAGGGCAAGAAAAGAAGAAAAAAAGACAAAGACAAAGACAAAAGAAAAGGGTGAATGGGGGCGACAATGAAGAAAGGCATCTATGGAAGAATGGCTATTGAGGTGCCGCAGCCTAGATGTATGCTCCCGACAAAGGCGATAGTACTTTTTCTATGAATAGACTTGAAACGCCTGTATGAACCACACAAATAGTGTGTATCTAATTAGAGACCTAGTGAAAGAGATCGGCAGGGTTCTTCACCCGATCTCTGCAGTGGGATCTCAGATACACTACAAATACTGCAGGTGGTGTTTCATCGTTGCGATTCAGGCAATAGATAGGGATTTTTAAGCGCAGAGATCGGGGTTGTAGCCGGAACAAGCCTAATTACCTACGTCTCCGTCATTGGAATCTCAACTAGGGCCCGGCGTAGCCAAATGACTGGTGATTATTAGAGGATACTCGACCATGCTGAAACAAATCGGCGGCTACAAGTCGCCTTCTTTCCCCCGTGTTCCCCATGTTTTGTTTATGCTTGCCTCAAACCATGCCTTATCACCTGGTGAGTACATATGTATAGCTCAAAGGATTCTAGATCATACGTGTAGCAAGGTGGATCTGGCAAGATATTTGAAGGGCAAAATACATTGTAGGCAGTGGGCTTTGAGGCGAAGCGCCAGGTGAAGTAGAAAGCCAGAGTTGAAACAAGGTAAGAATATAGCCCAATCACAGCCAGCACCTAGTCGCTGGGCAAATGAGTCAGGGTAAAATAACAAAGAAATACTCCGATAATCCAATCAACAATATTGAGAAGTGTATACTGAATGTATACTGAAGTAAATAGTACTCCGTAGATGAGTGGAACCCCTGTGATTCGCCGGAATGCACCCGACCCCTCCAAACTTTTTTTCGCTCACTCTCCAAACGTTTCACACTACTTTCGATACTCTTGAGATAATATCACCACCTACAACATGACACGGGGTAACCAACGTGACAATGATCGGGCCAAGGCCCTGAAGAAGGCGGGCAATTCGGTTCGTCGTATCCCGCCCGCTCCTCTTTGTTCATACTGACCATTTCTACAGAAGAACAAGAACACCCAGACCGGTAGCGAATTCGCTAAGAGCAAGGATGACGCCGCTGCCATCATGCGCGAGAAGCAGAGGAAGGGTGCGTATCCTCGCGCTAGAGACAAGCCCAACCCCTATGAGACTAGTTTACTGATCGCTTCTCCTCTACAGCGGATGAAAAGAGAGCCGCCGAGGCTGCAGCAGGAGGCAAAAAATGATATGCCTCATCCTTCGACCCAACCCGTCAGTCAATCTCATCTCTCTCCACCTTTCGCGATCGCCCGAATCAGACAATCCACCGAGCAGCATCGCAAAGTGCACTACGAGTGAAGGACGGCGCTGGATTCATGGATAAGATCGGAACCATCCGCCTATGCCCAATTTTCAAAAACCGGGGGCTGGGTGTCTAGCGAGGCGTTCATTTGAATCTCATTGGCGTTCATCATATTTTTAGCCCAAGCATGTATACCAAAGCGCTAACCAAACGAGGCAACGACGCATGAGAAATATCATGGAGGTGCAATTTTTGGTGGTAATCGTAAACACGTAAACACATATATACATCCATATCACATCCGGCTATGTATCTTGCCCATGGCCGTCTACGACCCAATATACTCTCGCCCGGGCCAGCCAGGTCTGCCATGACTTTTTCTGTCGACTGTCTTGGACCATCTGGGAATCACGAGATCTGGTTTCTTGATCGCAGTGCAAGGTCATGGTATCCTCGATCACACTTTCAAGCCCAAACTGCCTCGATGCTTGGTCGACAAACGTCCAAAGGCTCTCGCCTTCCCATCCAACGTTAAGCGCAAACTTGACCACTCTCTCAAGAGCATTCACTCGACTCTGTTGCTCCGGGACATTGCTCAGCATGTAGAGGCCGAAGCTCCATCCCGATATATCGCGTGGATTAGCCAAGCACCAATTAACCACCCGTTCGACAATTGACTGCGCCAAATGGGTTTCCCGCGTTGATTGACCAGTCGTCTTCTCCACTGTAGCAGCGATAAGCACATCCAACTGTCGCATATAGCTGAAAGCATAATAGTTCCTGGGATGCAGCTCTCCAGCGCGGAGAACAACATTCAATTCTGTCCGTTGCAGCTTAAGCAGATCCTCAGGACTCCAATGCCGCCTTTGAAGCAGATGGACAACCACCCACAGCCGGTGATGCCAGAGCGTCGGCGATTTGGTATGGCGCTGTAGTGGCGAGCACTGGTAGCTCGACATGAGCGTGAGTTCGGCTTCTAACAACTCCGTTGCGGCAGAGGTCTGGTTTGAAATATTAGGGTAATGCGCCATAGCTGCTCGCAGTCGGCGCTTGCGCCAGTTGCAGGCTGTGAGATGCTCACAGTCAAAGAGTAGCATTATTTCTGTGATAGCTGAGTCTGCCTTTCTGGACTGGGCGTTTGCGGAAAAGGTGGTTTGGAGGTCATCCTCGGACATGGGCATTAATCGGTCGAAGAAGAGCTGGCGCGCGACCGTGAAGGCCTGCACTAGTGCTTTCTTGGTTATTCCCAGTGAGCATCCATCTTGGAGGAATGTAGCACCTAGGCTTGGTGGGATGATCTCGATCTCGAGAACTTGGGTGTCTCTGGAGGAGAAGATGCGGACAAGTTCCTGGAATGCATCTTTCGGGCTGGACATTTGAAGGCTGGATTGTTTGGTGAAAGTTGAGAGAAGCAATTGTCAAGACCTAATCATATTTTGTTTGTTTGAAATAATTCCGTATTTTATGTTCTTCCCCCGGGCAAAGTGGTGCATAGAAAAGATGGTGTAGACCGTGATACAGTGAAGGCGGAAAGGCCAAGTCCGCTGTTATTTCGGCCTTTCCACAACGAGGGACGTCATTCACTCCCTCAACCGCAACCAACCTCTATCTTGCCAGGACGCTTCCAGTCTCACCCAGCAGAGTTACCAGAGACTCGCTTAGTCGGCTGTCTGTGCCGCCGTCGCTTTCTTCCAGGCTCTCCCAGCCCGCGCCGTCGCATTCAACTCCTCATCTCGGTCTTGCCAGCCCCCGCCACGATGTTGTCCCTCGTCCTCACGGTCTTCTTCGTGCACGTCACAATTTATCTGGTCAATACGATCGGCGCAAGTACCATCGACGGTCTTGTATGTCTCCAATCTGCCCATTTGTGGCCTTTGAGAAGCTTCCCAGCTCCGCGGCGCACCTACATTGTGATTCCACACGCTAACACCTACTCTCTTTGCAATCCAGCTATGGCTCCTTTATCTAAAACTGCCGACATCAACCTCGCGGACTGCACGCAAGCAGCAGCAGCTGAAGCGCCAAGTCCTTGAGCAGAAGCATGTAATGAACAGCACAAGCTCCCAGGATGAGTTTGCGAAGTGGGCAAAGGCCAGGAGACGACATGACAAGACCATGGAGGAATACGAGGCGCTGAGTACGTGACACTACCACAAGACTACGGGATGTGTTGTTATTTCTGTTGACCAGACTGCTAACATTCTTCTCTCTCCACAGACAAGACGCTTACCTCACAGAAATCCTCCTTCGACTGGACCGTCAAGATCGCCCGCTGGCTCAGCACAAACGGATTGAAGATCTTCTTGCAGTTCTGGTACTCGAAGACACCTGTGTTCCCGCTCCCCGAGGCCTGGTTCCCCTACTACGTTGAATGGATTGTGTCCTTCCCTCGCGCCCCGCTGGGATCAGTCAGCATCCAGGTTTGGAGCAATGTCTGTGCGACCACCATTGCGTTTGCCGCCGAGGTTGTGGGTGCCTTGGTGGTGCAAGTGGTTGGCCAGAAGGATGAACAGAAGGAGGCTGTGCCTGTCGGTGTTGAGGACAAGAAGGCACAGTGAACGCGAAAACATGAGCATAGTTATATTGCATGGAGACCGGTTGTATTATACGAAGTGAAATGCTACGACTTAGTTATAAATAGTGCACTTTAATCATTCATTTGAATTGCATTGGTATTTGAAACGCTCAAATTGAAAAACTGGCTATATAGGATGTTCATCAGATAATTTTAAATCGTTTATCGTCAACAACCCCTTGGGATCTCTGTGCTTGACTCTATGATTGGTATATCATCACGCGAACAAGAAAAAAACGAAGCCTATGGCAAGATATAAGAGTCCGGCCCCTGTGACAGGGCTTCTGCAACGAGACAGCATCTCATCACCGCTTTGCCATAAGCTACAGACTCTTGAAAAGAAAAAAAAACCGAGGAACTCCTCGCCTCAAGAATGAGCCCCATTGAGTTACCTCCGTCGACTTCAGAAGCAGACAGGAGGCAATCGCATGACTATCCGAACATGACGAAAGGCAACCCAATACAAGGAAAGGTGTTTTACCACCAATCCTTCCCCTCTCCAACACCCAGCGCACACCCCATTGTTTCCAGAGACATCGTGAAATGTAACCGTCGGGTGGCACGGGATACCGTGAGGGAATAGGGCGTAAGCCGCTATCGAATTGCTTCTATGGCGGCGCGTTTCCGCAGTGCCTGGCTTGGTACTTTGGTTTTACCCAAAGCGCAGGGTGTCCGGGGACTTTCTCCCAAAGCAAAATTGGAAAAGGGAGCGAGGCTTCCTTTTGTGTGTAAGCTTTGAATGCGATTCTTTGAGCGAGGAGTTGGGAGAAGAAGAGGAAACGGAATCTTCGGGGCAAAGCTTTTATTTTTCTTACGCTAGTCAGGTGATGTGCCTAGGCTTGGTTGGGACTAGCGTACATGGCATCGGCTTAGGGCTTGCGATGTTCCGGAGGGCAGTATATCCAGAAGTAAAGTGTCGAACAGAAAGGCTAGGGAAAAAAACGATGCTTTCTTGCTGCTATAAGAGAGACAGGCAAACAAACAGAGACAGAGAGAGACAGAGAGAATATCCTGGAGGGGAGAACAAATGTCCTATCAACCTGAGGCATCCTTATTAACTACTACGATACTCTTTTACCTTTTACATTATTTTCCTATGATTCTTCATGCTGATTTAGGCTTTGAATATTACAGAAGGAAATATACTGATGAAGAAAAAAAACACATGCATTTGAGAAAAGGCTTGATGAATGAAATTAGAAACAATTTTTACATGATCCCGTTTAGGCCTTGGACTTGGTCTTGGTGGCCTTCTTAGTGACCTTTCCCTTCGCCTTGGTGGCAGGAGACTTGGCAGCAGGAGACTTGACATCCGGTGACTCTGTAGCAGCCACCTTGGTTGTCTCTGTCTTCTTGCCCTTCTTGGCCTTCTTGGGGGTATCATCGGTAGGAGCAGGAGCCTCAACGGGGGCCTCAACAGGAGCAGGGGCTTCAACGGCCTTGGCAGGTTCCTCGGTGGCAGCCTCGGTGGTCTCAGTGGCCTCGGCGGCCTCGACAGCCTTGGGGGCCTCCTGGATGGGGACATCATCGACGCTCTTCAGCTGGGGAAGATCAAGCTCGTAACCCAGAGCCTTGAGCTTGTTAACCTTGGCCTGTCTCTTCTTCTGCTCGGACTCGATGCTCTTCGACCACTGGTCACGTGTCTTGCCCTTCGCGAGACGCTTCTTCTCGATGCGGTTCCATGGCGTAACCTTGAAGCGGCGGTTGGCGCCCTTCCAGATCTCGGGGTGCAGCTGCTCTTTGGGAACAAACTTGCACTTGACAATGTGGCCGTACATGAGGTAGTTGTCCATTGTGTCGGCGACGATCTTAGCGACAGTGGTGGAGGAGAATTCAATGAAGGCGTAGTGCTTGGAGCGGCCGGTGAGACGGTTGCGCGAGAGACGGAGTTTGGTAATTTCGCCGAATTGGGAGAAGTAAGCCTTCATCTGGTGCTCGTAGAAACCGTGGGGGATACGTCTGAGAATGGGATGTTAGATGGTACAAACTGGTCAAAAATTACTCCCGAAACTCACCCAATGTAGACAGTGCCGGGCTCCTCGGGAGGGCCGTTCTTGCGCAGCTGCTTGGCGAGCTTGCGCTCGGCCTTCTTGGTGTCTGGGGCCTTGGGGATAGGTTCACCCTCTTTGTAACCTTCACCATCAGACTCGTCCTCGTCGCCGCTGCTCTCAAAGCCTTTGATGAGAGCCTCAGTCTGGTCATCATCACCCTCGTTCTCAGCCTCGCTTTCATTAGCGGGGGAGACATCCTCCTCGGCCACTTCCTCTTCGGACTCGACGACAGGCTCGGGCTTCTTGGTCTTGGGGGCGGCCTTCTTCGCGGCAGCCTTCTTGGGAGCGGGGGCGGCCTCAGCCTCCTCCTTCTTGGACTTTTTAGCGGCTGGCTTCTTCTCGGCCTTCTTGTCAGCCTTCACGGGCGCGACAGGCTCTTCGACCTCCTCGTCGGTAAGGAAGTCAGCAGCACGCTTGCGAGGCTTGACCTGGCGTGTAGGCTCGACATTAGTCTTAGCCGGCGCAGCAGCCTTCTCTGTCTTGGACTTGGCACCCTTCTCATTCTTCTTCAGGATAGACTTAGGAGCAGCCTCCTTGGTTGCCTCAGCAGGCTTGGCCTCGACCTTCTTGGTTTTTTTGGCAGGTGAGTCGGCGGCGACAGGCGCAGCTGTAGTAGTGTTAGTGAGATGAAAATAAATTCCACCGGTCATAAGCATTTCACATACCCTTGCGCTTTGAAACTCTCTTATCAGGGGCCATTTTGAGGTTTTGTTGTCGAATTGGAGACTGTACACTGCTCGATCATCTGCGGGAAACTTTTTTTTCTTCTCTGATTTGCTCGGAAGGCGGTGAGCCGTCTCGACCACCAATTACCACGGTCACCGCCAAGATGTTTACTTACTACAACCCCAAATGGGCCAACATCATGGGGAAGAATAAAAAAGTGGCCTTGACACATGCAGAGGTCTGGGATGATTCTGCCCTAGTCCAGTCCTGGGACGATGCTGTCGAAGAATACCAGGTCAGTCACCAAATTTCCAATTCACGTGACCAATATCTAACCTGACGGCAGCATTATTGGAGCATTCATGCCAAGGGTGAAAACGTCGAAGATGTCTTGAAAGAAGCCGAAGATACTGGTATTACTCCAGCTGTACCTCACGGTGACAGTGGAAGCACCATAGCCGCAGAGGATGGTGCCACTAAACCTGAGATTGAGGATGTCTCGATGACCATCGCCGAGCAAACTTCCGAGTCTGCTCCTGAGGTATATTGCCATTTTATTGATGCTTCCTCGTCGAAGAACCTGCTGACAATATATAGCCTTCTCAGCCCATTGCTGATGCCAGTTCTGCGGTTTCCACGCCTGCTATGCCGATGCCTCACCCAATCATGGCAAACGGTATGCTTCACCTTCCGGACACGTTGATTCAGGCAACTAATATATTCTTCTAGTCCAAGATGAGTCGTTGAAGAATCTCATGATGTCATGGTACTATGCAGGCTACTACACGGGACTTCATGAAGGCCAGCAACAGCCAAGCCGCGACCAGAGCTCGTGATGCGATTACCGCCTGGGGATGAAATGGAATGTGTTTTGCTTGAGAGAGCACATTGACGAATACAATTTTACCAATTACAAGGTTAGAAACAAGACATGGCAGACAAGCAATGGAACTAATCATATCAAATTAATCGTGAAACTTAACAAGGATCTCATTGACCATTCCCCTTGCAAACAAAAGTAAACAACGAAAGTAAATATCGACCAGCTAGCGTCTACCAAAAGAGAATTGCGTTCATCACAGAGTCTGCAACACCTTCATATCCAGTCTCATACATCGGAGCTCGATCCTTGGTGACTTAGAGACCGCCTCCGGCACCACCAAGAAGACCACCGACGATGGGAATTTTGCCCAAGGCGTTAGGCTGAGATGTGGGCTTGTGGGTAGGGGTAGCAGTTGGGGTCACAAAATTGCCGGAGGAAAGCTTCTTGGTAGAGGTGGCAGTAGGAGTAGGCTTGCCAGAAGCCTCGGCCTTATCAGCTAGCTTCGCATAAACCTGGTCCTCCTGCTTTTTGGCCTCCTTCTTGTTTGCCTCCTGCTTCTCCGCGTTGGACATCGCGGGGGCATGCTCCTTGTGGTTCTCCTTGTCATTTTTATCCTTCTTGTCAAGACCATCCATCAACTTAGATGCATGCTGAGTTCATTGGTTAATATGATACTTCTCATAGTGACTTTGGCACGATTGACTAACCATCAATTCTTTAACAGTGCCATCGAGGCTAAGCGGTTTGCTGGGGGCTTGCCCATCACGCTTGGTGGGCATGGAGAGAGTGAGAACCACGAGGACGAGGAAAATGGAGATAAATGAGAGACTGAAACGGGCCATTGTGAATGATGGTGTATGTTAAGCAGGATATAGATAAAAGGAAGGAATATATGTCCAAATAATTGTCTCAAAACGAGCGTGTGTATGAATAGTTTAGGAAAATGAGTGATTGTTGCAAATGGACAAGGCACTGGGAGAAACAGAGCCCTAGGCTCTGCGGAACTTGCGTGGGATTTATATGCAGCCCCTTCAATCACATCGTGGAGAGAATGGGAGACCAAGGGGGGCTAGGGTGAAGAGTCTTGTTGCGACTAGCTACCGCGCGTCTTCGCCTGGTATTCGGACTCTGAGATAAACAACAATACTATTTATTGTCTTGTTTATTTTATGGGCCCTTTGGCCATACTCAATGGCTGTTTCGGGAGAGAAATTTTTGGTTCATTCATTTATAGATTGTATGGGCGTTAACGCCTCCTATCTCGAGGTATATCCGTTGGAGCTAATGATTGGCGCGGCTTCAATCAAGGGATATTCAATGATAGTGAATCAGTGAATAAAAATGAGGAAAAGTGACCAAGGCTATGCAGACCACGCCTCATGATGAATCGTGCCGCATTCCGTGTTGAAACGTCGGGAGTTGCAAGGATTGCATACTCATGCCTGATATTCACACCCGAGCGCTCAGCAGTTTCCATGCTAGCTTTAATCAAAAAAAATTCCGAGGACCTGTGCAGGTTTCACGAGCTTTCTTTTGGGAACTTCAGTCATGCAGCTACTCAAAATGCAGGAACAAATTCTCACAGGGATGGAGAAGTAGGTCTTCGATCAAGGGTTGCTGCGAGTCCCTAGCAAGGACTGATGAGAGATGCAGCATTCCACAAACGGAGCATTTTTGTGTTTTCTCCGATATCAAGAGGCGGCGCCTGTTTGTCACGAGGCATTTGTAGAATAACCATTCACAATTTATAGCTGTTTACAAGGAATGTATATGAATGTATCTCCCTACTTTGACACGCACAGCCCCATAGAGGGAGCGGACGTAACACGAGGGAGTCTCCAGAAGGACGTATCCAACTATGAGGGCTTAGTTTTGGCATCTTTTTGACCTCAAACATCAAGATATGACGGACAAGACTTCGAAGATGCCAAGGTTCTTTACAATTATCTAGCTATGTAGGCGTTAGTTGATAAAAGACACGAATATGATCATCCCTGTCTGGAGGAAATGACCATGCAAGTTGAAAGGACCTGAGTGCCTCGCAGGGTTGTAACTCAAGCATTAAGAGTTCAGTGCCAGCCAAAACTGGCCCCTGCAAGTAAACGCGGGTTCCAAATGCATCAAACTCTGCAAGACTAAATCGCAAGATTCATATCAATACATGATTTGGGGATGTTGGCTCAAAAGCGAACCCGTTCCCCTCTGGCTGAATGTCAGGGGGCGGGATTAGAACGAGCATTCTTCGGTCTGGGTCCCTAAACTAAAATATGTAGATAGAGTGAGATTATTCCATCGACAAGAGTGTGTTGGGGACCGTGTATATGTTTTGAAGTGAAGAAAGAAAGAAAAAGAGAAAGCGCGCAAATTTTTATTCGACGGGGCCAGTAGCGCGGATTATGTCATTGTGTCACGTGGATGCTATGCTTTCTGTGGATCTCCAGCCTCCTTTGATGCCAACACCATCTCTCTGGTTTCGATGTCGATCTGACAACTTGGAAATTCAATTTCCACCTCGTAAAATCTCCTAAGTTATTTTAGCTGTGAATTTGATATATCTCGCACAATGTGTTTGAAAATTGAGATATATATTTTAGGGAAAGTGCAGGTGCAGAATATATATATAAACATGGTTTCAAGTAATGAAGGAATTCAACGAATCTTAAATGTTCGCCATACTTTCTTACTGTCCTTTATAATATATTCATGTTTTTGACCTGTGAGAGTGATGAAACAAGCAATTCAACGTGCAAACTCATTCCGTATGCTCAACTGGACGGGAAAGCCGGCCCCGCGGTACCCACGCTGTAGCCGGGGTGAAGAACCATGAGATGAGTGCGAAGATAGTCACGATACCTAGGATAATTGGCGCATCTAAATATACATTAGCACAAAGTCTCTTCCAATGGCTGCTAGTAGCAGACAACACCTACAATTTAGAGTAGATGCCTCAACGGGAAACGAATATGGCGAGAAGAGTACCGCGACAACCCAGCCATTCCACAAAACCGAGATAAATTGGAATGGCTTGCTTAGTCGCCCGAGAGACCATTTCGCCTCAAGCTTCTCACCGGAGGTCAAAGTCAACCTTCCAAGGCTAATGAGCCCGTATGCCGCAGCTGAAGGAACACCCGCGGCTGAGACCAGAGAAGTAAATGCCACCGCGGACGGCAGGATGGTGCAGGTAATAACTGCCGCCACGCCCCACACAACAAGGACTGCGTTCCTAGGCTGACCCTCCGCAGAGACCCGTGATACCCATCCAGATAGTGGGAGTACTCCGTCACGGGCGACGGCGAAAACAAGACGGGAGGCTGCTGTAATGGCGATGGCGGTATTCTATCAGATAGGTTAGTATATCCTCTTACAGGCCAACTATTTAATTTTTCCTCATCGGCTGTAGGGAGGTCAAGAGCAATAGAAAACATACCAGCCATAGAGCTACAACCGAGAGAACATTCATAACAATATGTCCACCCTCGCCTAGAAGTGCAGCATACAAGGGCACGAAAGGTTGGGGTGCGTCATATGAGAAAAGAACATCGATTGGCGGCTGGCAATTTGTTAGTTTGTGGATCTAGATGTAAAGTCTCTGGATAAACTTACTGAAGTGAAAAGGAATAAGATCACGGCAGAGAAGCCAAGAACGCCACTGACAACTGTACTCCAGAAGATACCCTTGGCGGCATTGACGGCGGCATTCTTTGTCTCTTCGGCAACATGACCGGAGGCATCAAATCCGATCAGAATACCTGCTGTCGCCAAATATGAAAGACACCAGTTCCAACCAGCTGGAGCTCCCGTTCCGTTATATGTAGTCATGAAAGCTTCATTAGCAGTCCGCAGGCCGAAGGTGTTGTGCGCACCGATTGGAAGCCAAATGACGTTCAATATGAAGTCCAGAAAGACAGCACCGGTGGAGAACCAAAACACATATTTGAATACCCGCGCTGTGAAATGGAATTAGCGTTATTGCCCGAAAGGCTCAACTGCGGGTCAAGATTAAGAGACGAGAATATCTGTGCGGGCAAACTATGGGAGTATACATACCAGATGCGAGGTTCATCAATGCGGCTAAAGCCAGGAGGATTTCGGTGCATATCCATTGGACAGCGCGAAACTTGATATTTGAGACATCAGTGGGGAAGTCGACATTGAAAACAGCCAGTTCCTAAGCCGAGTCAGTTCAGAGTCGACACCATCAGATATAAAAGCACAATACCCACCGAGAGCATGTAGTTCACAGCTGACTGGGTATTGCCTATCGTTTGTTAACCAGTCAACTCAAATATGGACAAAAATTAACACCCGAGAGACATACTGGCGCAAAAGGTTGTCCAAGCTGTTGTGCTCCACCAGGCCACAATGAAGCCAAAGAGTCGCCCAAATCTTTTACCACCTGCCTCCGCAGCCCAGAGATAAATCGAACCAGCCGATGGAGATGCCGAACATGCTTCTGCAATCACAGCTGCTGTGATGAATGTAAACACACAGGTTATAATGTAACTCGTCCTGATATACTTGTTAACAACGCCACCTTTATTGTTCTTGAATCGGGTTCTGCATCATTACCAATAGGCCAGTGGTCCTCCAGCTGCGATACCAGTTGTAAATGTCACTCGGACACCACCAACGAAATAAAGGGCGGCTGATCAAAAAAGTTAACAATCAAGAGCAAGACGCCCAACTTGTGAGAGGAAAATTGAGCAATAGATACCGAACGAAGTTGAGAAATTTTCAAAAAGTGAATAGCTGCGGTGAAGAACCTATGTCGATAAGTCTCAAGTCAGCGTGCAGGTCTCGAATAGAAAATTCATATATCATTCCACTCACTTGTTTATATCCTAGACGCTCCTATGAAAAACAAGCGATGTTAATTCGTGCTATACCTTCATTGCGCATGAAAGATACCATACCAAAGTATTCTCATCACTGGCATTCACCTCCTGTGCCAGGGACTCTTCAGGATGCTTAAGATCTGTCATGACTACGAGGTACACGAGGGTGAAGTGCGTACAGTTCTAGACTGGATCCTACGAGGGGGACGACTAGAATAAATAGGGACAAATATCGCCAGGGGCAAACCTTCAATCACATTATTTACTACCATCGGCACGATTTAGTATTGAAAGAGCTAAATTGATTAAGCTGAAGGTTCAAATGTGGACCTCGTCCTCTAATGAAAGATTGTGAATGGCGCAAGATTATGCCACAAACGGTCCCGGTGGTGTTATGATGGCGCAAACCGCTACAAGGCGCGTGTTGGATCGCTTTTTTCCATGAAAAGCTCGAACAATACGGAAGGTATAAGCGATGGGTTATTTGTTTAGGGTCGACCCTATAGAATTGGTTCTTATAAATACAGTAATCTCCCTGGTTACCAGCGAAAATAAATCGCGAAGCGAGATATTCTAGAAGTCATGCCATTGTTCATTTGGGGCCTCCTTATTGCACTTGGAGCTGTTATTTGGGTATCTGAAACTCTTCAAGGCAGTCAATTTAGGAGAATTAACTGACATTTCGAAAAAGATTGTTCATACCTACTTCTTCTCCCCTCTATCACATATTCCCAATGCCAGTTTACTTGTGCCAATATCGCGTTTACTGTGGGAATTTCCCATGGAATATCAAGGACGCCTGACTTTGGAATTGCCAAAACTACACAAGCGACTTGGTAAGTTCTAGTGCTATTTTTAAAACGTGGAAGAAAGATCCAAGAGCGGTTGGCCCACAGAGAAACTTTAATTTGCAACATTTTCTTACGACTTTCAAGGCCCCTTGGTTCGAATAGGTCCAAATGAAGTATCTTTCTACTCACTCGATATTTACAAGCGCGTACATGCGCCAGCCGGTAAATTTGTTAAGGATCCCCGAGTCTACAGCCAGTTTGTTCAAGATGGACACCCGGCCCTTTTTTCGATTACGTGAGTGAATTATCAGGAAGAAGAATAGAAGTTTACTAACTTGCTTCTGTAGAGACCCTAAGGAACATGGACAAAGGCGCCGACACATGGGTGTTCTCTTCAATCGAAGCAAAGTGCCTCTTCTGACGAAGATGATGTTAGACGAGATATCGAGGTTTAATATCTTACTTGAGAATCTAAGCCAAGGCTCGCTCGACTTGATTCCTACCTGTCGAGCCCTTGAAGCGGACATTGTTTGTAAGTGCATAACTATTCGGTGAAAGATCACAACGGAATGTTTGACGTGATGTCTTTAGCACGATTCGCATTTGGAAATTCTATTGGGGCGATTGAATCTTTGATGGGAGAAGGAGAACTACAAATCATCAAAGAAAATGACTTGAAATCTTCAAAAATGTCACTGGTATGTACCGTGACTGCATTTTTCGAAGACAACGCTGATATGAGTTTTTTTCAGCACACCAACTTCTCCTCTATAATGAGAATGTATGATATGGTTGGTGAAGCCTATTCTCGAGTTACCGGATGGGGTGGCTCATCGAAGTCAAGCAAGGAGTTTGAAGATGTGTGTACATCCCAAAGCTTAAAATATTCCTTATGTTCTAAATATTAACTCCCATTTTAGTGGGCAAGCGAGCAGCTGAAACTTGCCGCGGACTCCGAAAAAGCACCCGAGGTGTCATTTCTGAAGGTTATGGCTGGGGGAAGAATCTCCCCGGAGTCTGCCTTGTCAGAAAGCAAGGAGATGTTAGGCCCTGGGACTGACACAACCTCTGCCACGCTCGCTCACATATTGTGGGCACTGTCCCTTAACCAGTCTTTGCAAAATGATCTTGTTTCAGACCTAAAAGCTGCGAATTGGACCACAGACATGACGGAACTCGAATCAATACCAAGACTGACAGCTTGCGTGAAGGAGGGAATTAGATGGACTGGAGCGGCATCCGCCATGCTACCCAGAATTGTACCGACGGGAGGATCGTTACTCGCAGGAAAGCAGATTCCTGGTGGTGTAAGCTCTCTAACGCAAACAGCACTGCTATTTGGCTAATAATTTACAGACGATGATTTCCAGCTCGCCTATCTGGTACTTACATGACGAGACTGCTTTCCCTGGGCCTTATTATTATCGACCTGATCGATGGCTCGAGAAAGACTGTGAAGACTTGGCTTCTTTGCGCAGCGATTATTATATCCCATTTTCCAAGGGCCCTAGTACCTGCATTGGCAATCAGTACGTTGTATCTCCGATATTGGCGTGCATATACAGTTATTATTTTTTCGTTTGCTGACTTGAGGCGACAAATAGCTTCGCATATTTGGAACTTTACCTATCAGTCTCCCAGATATTGAAAAAGTATCGTATCCAGCAACCAGAAGAGTCCACAATCAACGTTGATGTTGAGGCAACCCTTCCTGCACGACTAGAATGGGTTGCTGCGGTGCCTATTGGGAAATTGCAGGTTGTCGTGTCAGAAAGACTCTCGCAAGGATGATCTAGAGAATGCTACTAAATGGATGATCTCAATGGAGAATACATTCACTTATGATCGGAGCGGATAGACGGAAATAGGAAGATCTGCCGGCCGCTCGAGGTTTTTAATTTGAGCAACCACGTCCCCTAAATCAGGATTACCCCTTCACCCCGCGACCATAGCCCAGCGCCTCTACAGCAAAGGTGGAGATATGGAAAAGGCATTTATTGATTTGCCTGTCGAATTACTTTTCTTAATTGCAAGTTTTCTAGAGGTAGAAAGGGACATCGACTCGTTGGCTCGAACTTGCCAAAAATACTATTCTTACCTGAATGCCTTCCTCTATCAGCACAATTCGCTAAACCGAGGAAGCTCCGCTCTGCTATAGGCGGCCCAACGGGGAATAGAGGCAACAGCTAGTATCAGTATTCAAAATGGAGCCCATGTTAGGGTTACTGATATCCACGACCATTGCAGAACACCCCTGCTCGCAGCTGCTCGGCACGGTCACGAAGCGGTGGTGAAGCTCTTACTTGAGACCGGGCGTGTTGATGCTAATTCAAAGGACTCTAACTGTTTTACACCGTTATTCCGAGCTGCGCAGGAGGGCCACGAGGCAGTGGTGAAACTTTTACTTGAAACGGGACATGTTGATGCGGATTACAGGGGCCACCGCGGTCAAACACCCCTGCTCGCAGCTGTGCTGCGTGGCCACGCAGCGGTCGTGAAGCTCTTACTCGAGACTGGGCTTGTTGATGCTGATTCGGAGGATGGCATGGGTTGGACGCCATTTAGCGCTGTATCGAGCCGTCACGAGGAGGTGGTGAAGCTCCTACAGATTCACTTCGCCAGGAAAGAGGGCGAAGCTCTTGGAATCCAGCAGGTTGATAAGTCAGGAATCCGTAAATAAGATAAACGGTGGAGCGTAAGATTGCTATAAAGGTATGTGAGCTTTCAACTTGGAAGGTCGCGGAATACTGTATTCTAAAACATAATCCAGTCTCGTTGCGCACTATAGACATATCAAGCTGGTGAGTAGCGGTCGGTTGCGCGCCCGGCTCGAGGTGTCCGTATCGTTGTCTTGTCAATGAGACTGAACCGACGCTTTTTTTCCTCGCCATCTGTGACCTAGGGAGTAGGCCACATGTCTCTTGTGGAGTCACAGCCGCTGCAGGACATGTAACCCTTCCACTCCGACCTTGCCTAGCACTTCCAGTTCCTCGGCCCTTGAGCCTTGTGCTATAGCGAACCTGGAGAGAACCCCTTCGTCGTCCCGGGAAAATGCTTCACATCCGACTCCATGGGAGACATATCTTTTCCTTTAGTTCAACCAAGAGTTCGTCCTCCTCGGGCAGGAAACGAGTTCCATGCGCTGATGGCTTTTTGCTGCTGGGTTGCGTGGTGTGCGCCGTCTTATCTGGGCTTTTCTGTACGCGGAAGCTTTTGTTGGCCCATGCGGACAAGAAGGTTGCCTATCTTCCTCGAAGGTACACGAGTAGATAACTCTTGATAGAAACATTTGCCGTGTGAGAAAGCCTCTGACGGGAATAATTTGTATGTCCTGCAAACCTGCGGCGGGATATGGATTTGCAATTTCTTCTTCCGGGGCCGGCGAGGAGAACACATGGTGCGGGCTCTCACTGCGAACTCGAGCGGGTTGGATCTTCATTGTAGCGCGCAGATGATGCTCCGTACCCGGTGGTGCTGGTTAGCAGCACTTGCAGCTGTGCTTGGCTCGATCCCAAACAATGTTGTCAACCTTGACTTTCTCACATTTAATGACGACCTGTAATGGGGGATCATGTGCTACAATTGCGATCAAGATGCAGAGTTAGATACATTGGTCTGCGCGGTAATCTACTGTCCAGTCATTCGCCGCCGAGTCAAATGGCGTCAAGCCAGAGATGGTCTAGAGCATAACAACAGAAGTCATATGAATCTCCATGTTTTAGCGGGAGGCTGTGTTTTGCTGTGGGGCACCTACCGCCACTTTCTGGCCTCAGACCGCCGTCCGTGGGCGAACCACGATGACCCGACGAGTGAGCTGCATCTGTTCTCCAATAATGGCTAACCAGTGCCATTTCCCCGTCCGTCCGTTCTCCACAGTTGCCGTGCGGTCCGCATCCCAGTAGTATCTCTGTGAGAGCGCTCAGCCATGCAAGAAGAGACACGGTCATCACAGTCACATAAGCTTGAAACCCGCCACCATCTGATTTCTCTGTCTTCGAACCCCGGCCTTTCACCACCCGCCAATTATAAGGACCTCGGTTCAATTATTGGGCCGGGGTGGGGACGCCGAGGTTTTGAGTGGGGAACCACATGGCGTAGAAGATTAGATATGTATGTAAGCAAAACTGAGCATCCATAACTACCGCTGCTACAACTATGTCAGAAATACTCAAACATATACTGCAAAGTTTGTATTATATTAGGACCAGAACATAACGGAGTTGTAGGAATTCTTAACCCAGGATACCCATTACACCTACTAGATATCTTTGAAAACAGAAAAAGTTTAGGAAGAAGAAAGAAAGTTACATCTAGTTCTATGAAACAGGTCTAAAAGTACGTCTCTTTTATATCCAACTGGCCCTTGGTCTCCAAATTGTCTCCCAAGGAATACCGGATTCTTGGATGAGAGCGAGAGTCCTGGACAACGATTTTCATAGGAACTGTCTTCGTGAGGGTCCCTGACAAGCCGGCACCCCGCAACTGATCGAGATTGTCTCTCCGGATGCTTGCCAAAACTGAGATCAAGCCGAATCCCGTTCCGATCGGGGTTTGGTAGCAGAAACAGATTGAAAGCAGCATCATCGTGCAAAGGATGGGGTGGATAGACAGGGTAAGGTATAGACCCCAATTCGCCTGGAGGGTTAACCGTGTCGACCGGATGATTTCTTCAGTCGGTGGGTAGTACATTTCAGGATACACGTTGTTCGTCGGATTCATGTAGATTATCCGAGCCCAGAACATGCTCGCAACGGAGGTCGTCAACGATGGGACCAGCCATGGCGACTGACTCTGAGAATTTGTGGGAGAGTACCGGCTCAGCCATTGGGACAATAGAGGCAGTGTGTCCGCGTAATATGGCGTGGTGTTGTTGAAAACCTCTTGCTCGGCCCTTTCTCCGGTGCAGCTGCCACTGACGAGTTGGATGCTGCCGCGTGTCACTGTCCACTTTCCCTGACACCTTTCTCGCTGGATCTCGAACATGTATGCGGCCTGTCTGAACGCGAGGCTAGTAGATTCGGTCATATTGTTATATATATTCAGCCCGTATGCATTTCCCTTGAAGAAGCCCATCAGGCAATACGGCCCCGGATTCTCGCTGTGTAGACTCTGCAGGCCATTGATCAGCCCGATTTGATAGCCATTGTAGAGGGAAATCGTCGACAACCCGGTAGGGTTATAGGAGTGGTTGAGCGCACTCGTCCAGAAGGCGTCATTATCTCTGTAGGACGAGGTCGATGCATTGTATCGAGCGATTGTCCCATCCACTGCCGCTGAGATGCTCCAGGATTCCCCTTCAGTCAAATTCTGCTGAATGGAAGACAGAAAGTCCGGAGAAGGCAAGTCCAGCAACGCCGTGGAGGTATTGTCTAGGAGGATCGTGTTAAATCCGTACACTGCTGGGAATTGCGGAGTCGAACGAGCGCTCGAGGATGCTACCATATAAGGAACGCTGGCGTTGATCATATAATAGATCGAGTTGTTCATCACGTTAAATGTTCCCAAGGGAAGCGGCACGAGACCGTAGTACCGTGGAAACTGGCTCTGGATCTCCATCGTACTGCTTCCTCCAATGAGCTTTTTGTATGCCACGCTGAGCACCAGAGGGAGGAGGGTGAGAAGGAGGAAAGATGCACGCCATCGTACGTCCGCCTTATCCAAAAACACACTCTTCTTGATAATAGCCTCGTAGTTCTGCAGTGTCGGGGTCTTTCGCCGGGTCTCGATAATAAGGAAAAAGGTAGCTGCAAGAATACCAGTGCACTCATTCATCAAGCTTAACAACAAGCCTATAACGACCAGCTGGTTTGTCAATCCCAGTTTCCAAGACAGGCTCCATGCGGGTCCGATCATCGGCCGGATTGCAAGGATCGACAGCACGAAGCATGTCAAGCAGCCGAGCAGGGCGAGTAAATGACTCCTGTCGCAGTACCATCGTCGTTTTGGCACACCAAGCGAGTTTGAACTTTCTGAGGGGATCTGGGAGTACATCATAGGGTCAAGGTCAACGAGAACATTGACTTCTTTCTTTTGTGTAACTTAGCACGTGGTTTCTTCCTACAGACGCTGCGTGTTTGGCATCGTGATGGGATATTTGCACAAACGAGAGTGGAATAAGGTAAACAAGGCCTTTATATCCCTTCGATTTTAAACCCTAGAAATTGACCGTAGCCCTATTACATTTTTAACTCAGCCTCCTATACGACCTGTCCGCATCTTGCACTGTTCTACACTCAAATTATGAGGCGGATTTCAATGCAGCAGCCCCCCCAACGTGTCGCCGCCTCATAGGCCAGACGGCGCGAGACGGGCAGATCATCGTCGTGATGGCGGTGCGGGGTAGTATGCAATCTGCCCTGTTGGGGCGTGTATGCCTTAGGGCGCACGTTGTAGAACAGTGATGCAACTAGCTAGAGGTCCTGCCTTCGCGGAGGAAGGAACAGGGATCTACCTAACTACATAGGTCTGACCTCATGGGGAGCCGGAGGCCACCCAACAGAGCGCACGATTCTCCTCTTTCCCATACCTCACTCCATAGTCAGGACATCCCGCTAATGTCCATGTCTTCCCCTTCCAGTTTACAGGTATAGCCACCCGGCAGAAAGCCAAATATAATAGCAATAGGTTAAGTATAGCCAAAATCAAAACCCATGTTCATCCACATCCAAACCTATCGGTAGTTCTGCAGATCCCGCAGATCCCGCAGATCTTGCGAATAGGGGTGATATTCACACCTAAGGCATCAACATTCCCGCATGTTCCGAAATATCTGAAATATCAGTCTGGAGGAAAAAAGGAAGACACATATATATGCATGAATAAATATACAAAATGGGCCGAAAAGTACAAAGGTCATTTGTCCAACTAATCTTCTTCCTCTGCATTCTCTTTTTCATCTTATACCTAAACCGCCCGCAATCAACCAAAGACAAACTCTTTGCCTGGACCAAAATTCGCTACAAAACAACCTCATCCATCATCCCGGAAACCCGCGGAATCTGCCCTGGCCTAGCTGAAACAACCAAACCAGCCCTGATAGTATCACATATCTCCACGGACGGCGACCCATCCTGGCTAGACCCTCTCCGCACCCAGTACCATGTATGCATGTACCAAGTGGACGCGCCAGCAGACAAAACCTCAAAACTACTCCAAGTCCCCGCAAACCGCGGACATGAAGCAATGGCCTACCTAACCTTCCTAATCGACAACTACGCGGACATACCATCCGCAGGTGCCGTCTTCGTGCACGGCCGCCGCTGGGCTTGGCACAACGACATCCCAGACTACGACAACGCCGCGCTCCTACGCAGCCTGGACATCAGCGCCGCGCTGAAACCGGCAGGGTACAGCAACCTGCGCTGCGACTGGAGTGCCGGTACGTGTCCTTCTTCCGTGCCAGCACAGGGCAGTCTCGAGATGAGGCTGTCGAGGGCCGTGTCGCCGTGGAGTGCGCGCTCGGCATCTGATATAGCGCTGCCGAAGGCGCTTGGCCATATCTTTGGCGGTGATGCTGATGCACGTGTCCAAGAGATTCGCAGTGCTTTCCATCTTTATCTTGGTCGGAATGATGCGGTGCGCGCGCAGTGCTGTGCGCAGTTTGTTGTTGCCCGCGACCGGGTCTGGCAGCATGGTCGGGATGAGTATATTGCGCTTCGGCAGTGGCTGCTTGATGGGAGT